TCAGCAAACAACCCTGTGGTTTCATAAAGACAGTTAAAAAATAATAGAATTTCCTCAAGAAAAAGGAAGGGGAAGCTGTGGCCCATGGATGTTAATGGAAACGGCTAAACAACTTTCTTTAGCAACTTAACATTCCGTGATGTTTCTACCCGGCTCAGCCTGCAACTTCGGAGAGCTGTGAGGAGCAGGATTGTAAGCAGTACCACCATTTATCCAGCACACTCCCCGACCAGGCATCACTCATTTGCCTGTATGGGTTCTTTTAATTCTCACAGGTCTCAGGGTAGCCATCTTATTTCCATCCTCCTATTACAGATGATTGAAGGAAATTGAAGCAAAGAAGTTAAGTCATTTGCTAAAGGACAAAATACCACCAAGGGGTGGAGCTGGTCGGAACCCAGACATTGTTTCTAGGGAGCGGTCTGCATGATGCCTTTCTGCCTCTTCAGCAGTCTGTGTCCCAGGAAAAGAAAAAGAAAATGATGAGAAACACAAGGGCTTCAGTTGACCCCGGGGCTGCACTGACTCCCCAGCACTGCCTCAGCCAGGCACTGCCACCTCAGTCTTCTGGACTGGAGTCTGGCACCTCCTGCTTGCTCACTGATCAGGTGACAGTGATACGCTCAGGCCTTTGCCAGCCAGCATCCCGACACAGGCACCAAAGTCCAGGCCTCCAGCAGGGTGTTACGCCAACCCTGACCGAGACCACAGCTCAGAGGGCGCCGGCTTCCTGCACAGCTTCCCTGGCCTCAGAGGGTTGGCTAGGCCCTGGCTGCCTCTCCACCTCTGCAGTCGGTCTTGAGCTAAGCCCTTTGAAACATCTGTCACCAACGTGAGTGAGGGGTGGATGGAGAATGTCATGGGGGAAGAACGTGGGGGCCGTGTTCACGTGGAGCCTCAGGGGACCAGAGGAAAGGCGAGCCGAAAGTCCACACCACAGCTTCCAGTGACCAGTGTGCCCCAGAGTCACCTGATTCCACTCCAGAGTTGCCACTCCAGGATGGGGTCCAGAGACGTGTATGTCCAACAAGTTCCTAGGAAACGCCACGGATGTTGTGCCAGGAGCACACTGTGAGAGCCACCCGTCCACACAAACCAGGGGACCCCTGCCTCTCTCCAGCACCCGGCCACTGCTCCCTGTTCCTCTGCAGTTCTTTTTGGAGTAGGGCAGCTGGGCAGCTGAGGCACTACGGGGCGTACCTGGAGTCAGTCCCTGGACTGGACCCTTCACTCATTTTATGGCTATGTGGTCTTGGCCGAATTACTTGACCTCTCTGCCCAGAGTTTCCACCATAACAAATGCTAACATTTTCTGAGAGTTCACTCTGTAGTAGTTACTATTTATTTGTTGGTTCCTACAAGATTATGGGGTAGGTATTATTATCCCCAATTTACAGATGAGGAAATTGAGGCACAGAGAGAAACAATAATGGGAAATACTTTATAAGCTCACTGTGGGGATTAAATGAGATAATGGACACTAAACATTAGTTTGAGCATCTAAGTGTCATTTGCTCTTTCTAAGAGAACAAGAACCTGTAGAAGACCTTCTCCTTTCCATTGAGACTTTTAAGGCTTTGCCTAAAAGGACGAACCATGCTTACTTCTGAGTCCTTTGGAGGGGGGGAGAAGGTGGGGGGATCATGTCACTTATTTAAACCCTACAAGGCAGGAAGGGTGATGGTCCATGTCTATGATCTCAGCTACTGGGTAGGCTGAGGTAGGAGGATCACAAGTTCAAGGCCAGCCTTGGCACCTTAATGAGACCTTGACTTAAAATAGAAAATAAAAACAGGGGCTATAGCTCAGTGGTAGAGCACCACTGGGTTCAATCCCAGTATTAAAAAAAAAAAAGTCCTCCTACAAGAGATGGTCTCCTCTCTTGCAGACTTTCTGTCTCCAAAGAGTTGCTGCAAGTTCTAGAGGTGAGAATGGGGGAGGTGTGGGGAGGCAGACTGTCTAATCGCCACGGTGTGCATGCGCTTGGTTAAGCAGGGCATCCTGTATGAGACCTGACGGGCAGCTCCAGAGAATGCAGGCAGTTTGCAAGCTCACCAGACCAAAAGAGGAAAGGGAGAGAGAGAATACCCCCCAACCCCCGAGCTGCGCCAGCACATTCCAGCTTGATTGACACTTAGTGATGCCTTTGTTTTTCTCCCAGAGCTGGCAGTAAGGGATGGGGCCCAGGCCACAGCTTTTTCCGACCTTCACATAGTTTAAGCTTTCTTTTCACAGATGAGGGCAGAGGGCTGGTAAACCTAGGCTGAATGTGAATACTAATTATTTTTTTTTACACAATACCTTCATTTTATTTATTTATTTTTATGTGGTGCTGAGGATTGAACCCCGCGCCTCACATGTGAGAGGTGAGCCACAGCCCCAGCCCCACTAATTATTATTTAATCACCATCATCAAAGCTGATGACTAAACCTTCAGAACTTTCTGGCTATCAGCAAGATATTCTGAGAAGCAGAATCTTCATCCAATTCCAACCTGGGCTTTCTTTCACCTCCCGTCTCAGCTGGCTCTGAGCCTCTGTCCCCACACCAGCCCTAGCTTTGAACAGCAAATACTACTCAGGCCTTGCTACCTACCTCCCCTGGATGGTTCCTGGATTCTCTCTCCCACCTCCACCCCTCATTAAGCCTGGATTAGGTGTCCTAAAACCAGCCTCGTGGCCCATTTCCCACACGTTTCAGGATGACTTGTTTAGCTGTCTGCCTCCTCCCTCCAGCAAGGAGTTACAAGCTTCTCATTCATCTTTGATTTTCAATGCCAAGCATGGTGGCAGGCTGCCAAGAGGCCATCGCTACACCTTTCCTGGTGGATATATTGTGTGTGCCCGCACTACCTTCTCCCTCCTGTTGACTGCTCTGGGCCTCCACACAGGCAAGACCTATTTCTACATCCAAAGAGAACAGGGGGAGGCAGGAGACACTCACCGCGTCCTTGGGCTTAGCTGTGGTAAACCCTGGGATGAAAGCATATTTGACGTGCTCCAACTTAAGCCACTGGTGAATTAAGCGAACAAACAAAAGATGTGTGCACACCGTGAACTGGTCCAGAGTGGATGGGTGAATGAGAGGTGGGCCTCACCAGAGCCAAAGCACTTACCCAGAGGGACTTCAGGAAGGGAGGGTGCCTTTCTTCACCCACCCCGGGGATCCCAGCTGATGCTCCCATAATAAAAGCAGGTCAACAAGAGAAAGGTGTAGCAAATTTGTTTAACAAAAGTTTTAAGTGAACTGGGAGCCTGCAAAAATAAGGACCCAAAGGCCCAGAGAAAATTACCCATTTTTATGCTTAGGTTTGATAAAGGACAGACCGGTGTGTGGAAATGGGATCAGATAAAAGTGGTGTCACCTGAAAGTCACAGACCAGGGAGAAACCCTGCCCAGCCTGTCTGTTCTGAGTCTTCCTGCCTTTGTGTGTGTGTGTGTGGGTGTGTGTGTGTGTGTGTGTGTGTGTGTGTGTGTAATGTGGCCCTCCATTTTTCCAGGCATACTCCACTTTTCTGAAATTAAGATCTTAAATCTTATCAGATCAGGTCAATGAGAGTTGATTAATTTTTTTTGGTCAGTTCATACAGAAATATAGGGAAAAAATCCCAGTAATATTTATACATTTTATGGATAGCTTTGGGGTAGAGAATTTCTGGTTTTTATGATCTTTGGGATCATAATAATATAGAAATAATAAAGAAATTTTTGGGGAAAAGGAAATTCTTATTGCAATGCCGTGCGTTGGGGGAGAATGGAGAGTAATAGGGAGAAGGGCAGGAAAGGGGCAGAAAGAAACTGTGCTTCTGAGGTCCTTGCCGCGTCCTTCATTGGAAGTACTTGGCATGCCGAAGTGCCATGCTTCGGGTGTCATTTCCCGATTCCCCCCACACGGGACACCTCATTCCTCCTCCAGTAACAACTCTGAAGAGAGAAGCAGGTGCCCTGGAAGACCAGCTTTCCAGACAGCCTTGGCCTTTAGGAATGTCACGGCTGGCCAGGCTGAGCATTAAAGGACTTGCCTCTGCCTCCAGATGAAGTCGATGCTGGTCTGGACCTGAGCTGTAGAGATCTGGGCTAGATCTCTCTAGCAGGAAACCTCTCTGTACCTGTTTCTTAGCCCTCATAATTGCAGACTTCCTCTTCTAGTTCCATTCATCGGTCCCAAAATGCACCATTCCTAAGAACAAGGAGATATGACTCTGGGTGGACAGGGGCACATTTCCTTGCAACTGGACAAACACCTCAACAGGTGTGTTCCTGTAGTTCCGTGGGGTCCCTTTCTGTAGCAGACAGGCAATGAGGAGAGTGTTCAGGGTCTGGGGAGCCAGAGTCATTGGCCCAGGGCGAGGGTGCCTAGTGAGCCTGTGGTCCTGGGGACCCCGTGGCTCAGGGCTCCCGGGGACCCATCAGTGCTTCCTAATCCAGTCTGTTTTGCATTCTCCCTTTATCACTGCTTTTGTGGGTGTGTGGACTTCTTAAAGGGAAGATATGCTCCTTGAGGGTAGGCTCTGTGTTCTGGAGCCTCCTATATTTTATCACAGAGACTTGGGTGGAGTGGATAGGAGGAAACACTTGCTGAAATGATACACTCTTCAAGAAAGAAACTGGGCACCACGATCTAGGCCTGTCTATTGCCCCTAAATTTAGGAGAAGTACCTTTAAATATAGTCTCCTGCTCTTATTATTTTTTATACTAAATTTCTAAGTGAAAACGTGTGCAAAACCTCTATAATATAGAAACGGGCTGCAACATCAACAACAGCGAGTTTAATCTGCTCTGGAAACACATAAAATCTTTCAGAAGGCTGCTGGGAATTCTCCCCTTCTTCTTCCCAAAGGCTGCAGTTAAGCAAGGTCAGAATGCCTCATTATTTTGGAGTGAAATTTGGTCCTTCCAAGCATTACTCTTTGGTGAGCAAGACAGCACAAAGGAATCTCACCCCTGGGCTCAATTCTTTTTTTTTTTTATTTCCTTTTTTTTAATGCAAATACTAAAATCAGCTTTGTTTTCCTTTAATACTTCTATCTACATTGTGAAAAGATGACATTTTCATCACCGAAGATAAAAGAAGAAAAGAGTTGTCATTAAATATTTTTTACCTTTTTACACTGGACAGGATGGCCGCCACTGTCCTGTTACTCTTGGGGAGGGGCAGAGGAGCAGGAGCCCACAGAGGCTGGTTTCTGTCCACTTTGGAAACAACTTTCTGCCAGTTCTAGCCAATGGTCTGCTTTGGAGGTTAGTGAGTTCTGCACACTGCAGGCATTTTCAAAATAGTAACTTAGTTTTCTTTTATTTTACTATTTATTTATTTGTGGTACTGGAAATTGAACCCCAGCCCTTTCAATTTTTTTTTCATTTAATTTTGAGACAGGCCTTCACTAAGTTGCTGAGGTTTCCTTTAAACTTGTGATCCTCCTGCCTCAGCCTCCCAAGATGCTAGGGTTAGAGGTGTGCACCATCATGCCCGGCTCTGACTCACTTTTCAAAGAGGTCATAACACGCATGGGGTTGATATTTTAAAGGAACACAGAAGAAAAGTTTCTCTCCTTCTCTACTCCCTCCTTTTGTCCCTGACATTGTTTTTCCTTCTGAAGAGACGACCTTGTCTTCTCGTATTTGACCAAAGGCCAAACACCTCTGCATGGAACACTGTAAGAAGTCCCTGGGGAGGAAGTCCCTGGGGAGGGCCCTCCCATCCTCATATCTCCTCCTTTAAATTTGCACGTCATGATTCTCGGGATATTTTCTTTCTATTTTGGTCACATAGTACACACTTTCTGCCCAAGGACTGGGCTGAAGACTGATGACCTGACTGGAAATCCAGGGCCTGTTCTGAGCAGCCCTGGGGCCGGAGGCAGGGTGCCACAGTCTCAGGGTAGATACCCGGGGGCGCCGGAGAAGAGCCCCTGCATGGAGTGGGATGGTAGCTTTTGCCACCGTGGTCCTTCTCCTGGTGGGAAGCTGAAGACAGGAAGGGAAGGCAGGGCGCCTGGACCCGGGACCAGAGCTTGGGGAGGGGAGGAGGCAGGTGGCAGTGGAGTGGATGCAATGGTGAACTGGGGACTGGGAACCCCAGGTCTCCGCTTGTCTTTATCCCCAGCTGTTTCCTGCCTTCTTCGGGCTTCTGGAATGCTTCTAATGTCTGTTGTCAAGAGAAAACGTGGATGTGTAACCGATGTGATTCTGCAATCTGTATACGGGGGAAGAATGGGAGTTCATAACCCACTTGAATCAAATGTATGAAATATGACATGTCAAGAGCTTTGTAATGTTTGAAAAACTAATAATAATAATAATAAAAGAGCCCAAAGCGTGGTTCATCCCCTGCCGTGCAAGTGACGTGTGACTGCATCCATGGGGCCTCATTCCTGTATGATGGAACCAAGGGCACTTTTGACCTTGGAGGTAGTAATCTGACCCTGACAGATGAATTTGGCCACAGCCTTCAAAGGCACCCAGACCCAACAAATCCAGGTGGCACCCGCCCTGTTTCAGGAGGTGACTGTTTCCCTAGCACAAAAGGAGGGGAGTGAAAAACAAGGCTTTCGAGCAGGACCTTGGGCTGATCTTCAGTTATAAGGGGTGCAAGAGGCTGGTTTCAGAGGGAAGATAAACAATAAAACCATTTCGTTATTATCACCATGTCATTGGCCATTATTCACTTTAAAGGCCAAGAAGTCAATAGTTATAAAACATGAATTGAAGAAACAATCTATATTTTCATATCAGCAATAATAGCAAAGCATATGGCAAGCAGAATGGGACAGTCCTTAAGGGTTTTCTTATCCAAGGCCAACTCAAGGGGACATCTCAAGGGGCAGATTACAACACAGTGCTAAGATGGGGAGGGAAGGCTTAGTGTCAGTTTCTCAAGTATCTTGTCCCATGTGAGGCACTCCTCAATGCTCAGTTTAGGGACCTTGGCCTTGGGAATGTCTGGCATTATGAGCATATCTCGAGGTTCCTGACATTAGACCCAGTATCCTAGCCTCTCTGCTACTGTTACCCATAAAAGTATCAGGAACCAACGTAATGCTGTGATGAGCTAATGGCACGTATGCTCTTATTTTCACCCCATACTCACCAAGTAGGAACTCAGCAACCTCGTTTTGCAGATGAGGAAGCTGAGGTTTAGAGAGGTTAACCACTTCCTTAAGGTCACGCAGCCAGCAAGTGAGGGGTCAAGGCACAGACCCAGACCACAAGACCTCTCTGGTGCTGCTGTTAACTCTTGCTCAACTATAAGAAGCCAATCTAGAGGAAGAGAGGGAAACATGGAAGGGCAATTTCCAAAGATGGAGTTTAGGAAAGAAGGGAGGGAACAATTAGCAAAGTGAACAGCAGGGAAATCAAATGGAAGATCAAGTGACATTTAAGAAGTCAATTGATGGGAATGAATCAAATAACCCTACAACTGGGAGAAAAGCCCCAGACCTGCTCTCTTTTGTGGTACAGTAGGGGGTGGGCCTTAGAACCCTGCTGGTCTGGCCACCCCCCTCCCCCTGGCCAGGGCAGAGCCAAGAAGGTCCATGTGCTTGTTGTGGAACCAGGCCCCAGGCCCAGTCCTGTAACCCATCGCCAGAACTCGTGGTGTCAGGCTCCGAGTCTGCCCAGAGGGTTTTGTGATTCCATCGCTCTGTGTCCAGAATTAAAACTACAGAAAAGCCAGAGAGATGATATAGGGCCCCATTGTCCCTGCTGGGTGGAGCCAGAGTCAACTCCTGTTCTGCTTCAATGACCTTGAGCTATCGCTTTCCTAATCAATGGGGAGCAGGATGGTGTTTCCACCCACAGGGCACCTCGGGGGATTAACGGGCAGCTAGGACACTTAGAAAAGATACGACAATTGTTATTATTAATCCCGGGCTGGGCTAGTCCAACAGGCTCTGTATTGTCTAGGTTAGGGAGAGCCTTGGATCACTTACCTTTAAGAACCATAATCAGTTCTAAAGGCCCTAGACGGTGCCTGCTGAGTTTCCTGTTGAGGATCAGTGAGTGCTGTGGTTGCTCACAGGAAACACAGGAGGTAACAGCCTCCAAGACCTGGGCCACCTGAGAACATGACTGCTGACGTTGTCTTAGGGAACCTGGGGACAGAAAGCGGAAGGGGAGTGGATTCTGGTCCTTCACATGCGGGTGCCGGAGTGGGCTGGTGGGTGCCCACTTTTCTGTTTCTCCTGATCTTGGGCTTCAGTCCAGGACTTTTGCTGATTCATGCAGGTACTTCAGTCTTAAGCCTCCTCATAAGTCTTTAAAGTGATTTCTAGGATTCTGAGCATTTTTGAAATCCTTGCTCTGTCCTACACACTGGGGATACACTGGAGAAAAAGATGACTTCCTCCCCAAAGGAGTGATTGTCACGGGGGGACAGAGAAGGAGAGCAGGCCAACACATGTCACAGCAAACAGCAGCAGGACACAGATGAGAGCCAAGTCGATCCCGTCAGCAGGAGCTTCCAGGGAGAAGTGGCATCTGATCTAGTTCAAGGACAAATAGATACAGCCAGGTGGATGGGGGGGGGGGGAAGGAAGGGAACAGGCACTTCTGGGATCTGTGGGTAAAGCTGGATCAGAGAGGAGCGACAGGAAACGAGGAGGAGGCCAGCCCTGGTCTGGACCCGGGGTGGCCTGGGGAAACAAGGAGCCAGGAAGGTATTTTAACAGGCAATGGCCTTATTAGAATTGTGATCTCAATTACATTTTAAAATAATAGTAATAGTGCCTTAGCCAGCTTTATGTCACTATGACCAAAATATCCGGCAAGTAGAGCTGAGAGGAGAAAAAGACTATTTTGGCTCATGGTTTCAGAGATTTAGTTCATGGTGGGTCAACTACGTTATTCTGAGCCAAAGTGAGGTCGTCTGTCATGGCACAAGACCAGGGCAGGGGAGGAGGGGCACAGGGAAGATGTGCCTTCCAGGGCAGCCCCCATGAGCCACCTCCTCCAGCCACTCCCCCCCCCGCCCACTGCCTGCAGTTACCACCTGGACAGTCCATTCCGACTGGGACGGGCTGATGAGGTCACAGCTCTCAGGGTCTGTCATTTCACCTCTGAGTAGTCCTGCTTTAACAAAGGAGAGGCGTTAATATTTGTGGAGCACTTACAATAAGCTCAGCATGTTTCAGCACTTTTCCTGATATAACACATCTTGGTCTTGTGCTATAGTAAGTTGTGGGGCCAGGGTACAATCTCCCTCAGGCTGCCACCAGGGACCTTGTGTTCAGCCACTAACCTATAGATGGATCTTTTTTTTTTTTTAACTTTTTTAACTTTATTTTTTGGTGTAGATGGACACCACACAATGCATTTATTTTTATGTGGTGCTGAGGATCAAATCCCTGGCCCATGCTAGGCGAGTCTCTACCACTGAGCCACAATCCCAGCCCCTATAAACGTTTCTTACATTGTTCTTTCTCAGTAATAAATACTAATTGTTTAAAAAGAATTTTTTTAGTTGTTAATGAACCTTTATTTATTTGTTTATGTGCGATGCTAAGAATCGAGCCCAGTGCCTCACACATGCTAGGTAAATGTTCCACACTGAGCCCAAACCCCAGGCCACATGAATACTCATTCTTATTGCTTATCTTTTCCTTATTGTTTTGTTCTTTTTTTGGGGGGTGGGGTGGGGTGGGTGTTACTGGAAATTGAACCCAGGGAGCTTAGCCACTGAGCTATATCCCCAGCCCTTTATATTTTTTGAGACAGGTTCTTACTGATTTGTTGAGGCTGGCCTCGAATTTGTTATCCTCCTACCTCGGCCTCCTTAGTTGCTGGGATTGCAGGTGTATGCTATTGCACCTGCTCCTAGCTGTTTTTCAGTTTTAAGCCAGTGTACTCCATCAATTTTCACAAACAAGAGCTCTGACTTAGTGAAAAACTCTAGATTTCAATTAAATAAGATCTAGGGGTTTATAAACTACAAAGAATGCAAAGAAAATTCCTTATGCACTAGACTTTGGCTTTTGCTTTCCTGTGACGGTTGTGTGGTCCCTCAATGAAGAAAACTGGCAGAAATTTTCCTTTGTTTCAATCCTGACCTCTGGAGTCTGTAGCAATCCCTAATTTTTAGATCTATTTCTCTTTAAAGGGCTATGAGACAGTAAAATAATTTTATCTCACTTAGAGGTAGTTGTTTTGAATCAAATTCCCAGTTAACAGGAAGCACAATTCAGAAAAATCAAATCTGAGCATCAATTTAAAAAAAAAATTAAAGTTTTCTTTCATTCTTAGACAGCAAATCTTATGTCTTCAGGAAGCTCCAGATTGTACATAGCTCCTGAGATATGCTTACAAATGTAAAATATCACTTTTATTCAGTCAATCAATTAAAATTAACTGAACACCTGCTATGTGCCAGGTGCCATGCTAGTTAGCAACAGAGACAAATTAAGTTTCAGCTTCTCCCTTCAAGCCTAGCGGAGGATCTCAACATCACTGATGTTCTTTCAAAGTAAGTGTTTATTGTCATCTCTTTGGACACCACTATTTCCTCCCAGCTCTCTGCTTGTAGGTATTCTATAACAATTTTCCTCTTGAAATCCTCAGGTTGGGAAAGCCACGCTCATTCAGGGGAAGGAGATGTGACTCCTGACCAGCTGCATGGTGAAGCCAGCTCGTCTGCATTTCACCACTTCCCCTTACGTTCCCACTGGACTGACAGATGACGAGGCGTCCTCTGGCCTGTGCTGTGGGAAGCCCACTGGGGAGTTATGGAACGGTGGCCATTTTCTAAGTGGAAAAGTGAAGAATTTTTATTTCAAACCAGGAAAAAAATCATTACATTAAGAATTGAACACAGAAACATAAATAAAAGAAATGTCAGGCTTTTTAAAATAGAATTTCTAAAAAGCCCATCCATTTGGCCCAGGCCAACCCAAGGCCTTCTCTGGGTGGACTAATTCTGCCTTAGGGTGGTGGAGGTTGTAGAAGCCAAACGCAGTGTTTGAGGACCAGCTGTCCCGGGGACAAAGCTGGTGTACACGGAATTCACCGGTCTCAGATGCCCTTCCACCCTTCCAGCTGTGGGTCTGGAGGAAGAGGTGAGCAGACGCTGCCACGGAAGAAAGGGCTGAACTGTGATCAGAGAGGACTGGGCCAAAGAGCTTCGTCCTCGTCGCGTTTGTCAGGAGAGCCCCTTTCTCATTCCTGAGGTGGGGCTTGGGGTTAAACTAACACGTATTTCATCGACTCTATTCTACTTTTCTCTCTTCCCTTTCTTCTCTCCCTGTCCCTACCAGCTCCTCGGTTCCTGACTTCGGGCTGCCCCCCTCCAGTCGTGTTACACTGACCTCCTTTCCATGCTCCCAGGAGCCGACAAACCGGTTGTTCGATGTCACCTTTACCTCCACAGCCATCACCAACCTGAGGGACAAGTCAACCTCTTGAACTGGAAAGACAGGATGTGCCTTTTACCGGGAAAACAAGGGCAGCCTTTTCAAAGACAGATGCCTATCTCAGCTGCTCCTAAAGGCAGCATCTCCTTCAGGCTTTCTGAGGGTATTGGTTACAGCATTTTTATGTAGGGCAGCACGCGGACACCCTGATTTATAGGATAAAGGCTTAGTCATCTGTGTCCCACCAGTGTCCCACAGGGGCCTGTCTGTGAAGAGTACGGACGGCCTTGCCTGCTCAGCCTGCCCACCCACTTTGGAAACTCTCCCTGCCTCCCACCACCCCTGCGTTATGAAGTCCCTATTTAGCCCATCCGAATGGTCGTAACTGGTGGCTTATTGATAGGATACATTCCCATGTATCCCAGGCCACATGCCTTCTGGATTTTTGGACTTGGATCCAAAGTGGCCAAAGGATATAGGGCTTAAAGCTTGGAAGGTGCCTGTAGTCAGTTTTTTTTTTTTTTGACCAGGTGAAAATGGGCAGTCACCAACAGGAGAAAGAGAAAGCCAACACCCATGCTGGGAGCCATGGGGACGCCTGTCATCCCAGCGACTCAGGAGGCAGGGCCCGGGCAGGGGGATCGCAAGTCCCAGGCCAGCCTGGGCAATTCGCCAAGACCATGTCCCAAAGTAAAGTAAGAAAAGGGCTGGAGATGTGGCTCAGCGGTAGAGCGCCCGCTGGGAGCATGTTCAAGGCCCTGAGCTCAATCCCCAGAACCATAAAATGTAAAAGATGATCAATAAACAAAAAGAAGTACAAGACAATGGAGGGAAAGATGGAGACAGAGCCCTCACCCACGGGTCCCGCTCAGGGCTCCCTGGGCTCTGCTGCGGCCCTCACCTCTTGCCCACCCTCCACTCCACAGGCGCTGTTTTCCTAAGGTGCGACTCGGGATCCTGTGGCTTGCCCTGGAAAGGATCTCTGACTCTTCACGGAGCGCGTTCACAGAATAACGAGTGAGTGCTCTTTGCGGGCTAGCAGACCTTGGAAGCCCCGTGGATACTCGTTCCAGATCCCAGCAGCCCAGGAGAGAGCGGTCTTATCCTTACCACCCTCCGCGAGATTTCCTAACGTCCCTTGGTTAGTTACCAAAGGAGAAGAGGAAAACATGGAAACCCTAACATCTTGAATCTCTCCTTCCTTAAAAGTCCTGCTGCCTTCTGTTCCTAGTCTTGATGATCTTCCATTTTTCATGTAAAAACAGCGTGGTTTGAAATCTTTACCTCTCCCCTCTTTCCACCGTTCACATCATCGGAAATCTATTTCTATTTGTCAACCTTTGGAGTTTTTCTTAATATCGCGTATATCATTGTCCCCTGAGGTACGACAGATCGCTCTCTGGAGAGCCCGAGAGGCTGGCGCATGGTGAAAGGGTGTGTGGATGAGGTTCCTCTCGTGTCCAGCAGCATTTACTGAGGGCCTGTGTGTGAGAGCCTTGTGGACGGTGCTGAGAGCCACATCACCTGTGAGTTACAGCTGACTGCCTCGGAGAAGGTGGGTCACATAGAGGAAGCACAGTCTACACCACCGTGAAATTCCATTTGTCTGAAGTTGAAAAGAGCCTCTCAGCCTTATTTTTTTCATTGATTCATTCTCTGTTCACTTGTTCAACAAATATTTTTGAGTTTCTGTTTTGCGTCAGGTCCTGCTCTGGCGCTGGGTTTACAGAGTTCAACAGAGCCTCTGTTTTCTTGTGGGCGAAGACAGGGAAAAGCTAGTTAACAATTAACTAATGGTTTCGAGCTGTTTTAGATAGTGACAACCACTAAGACTGCTAATAGAAAAACCTAGAATTTTACCCCCCACCTAGTTCTTATTTTACAATAGTTCCTATGTCCTCTCTTGAGACCTTTCCAGCAGCTAGGATTTCCAGTTAGGGGACTCACGGTCGGTCTAGGAGCTCTGGGGAGGTTGTGTCAACACTCAGGACCGATGGCTCTAGCAGCTCATGCCCGTATCTACAAATGCCAACATCGTACTCAACGAAGCTGCCCTCCAGGAAGCATGAGCCTGAGATGCCAAACAGAGAGCTTCTGATGTTTCCAGGAAAAATAAATGGTTGCTGGGAGCGCACAGTGGACATCCGAGGGCTCTCTATGGTGAATTCGCTTGAGTATAAGCCCAACTTTCTCCACCTGAAGCTTTGGAGTAATCACATACACAATATCGTCCTGAGAGTTTAAACCCACAGAAAAGAGCCCGTGGTCAGCCCCCTCCACACTGGAGACCGCAGACAACTAGTGTCTCCTGGTTTTATTAGGAACCCCTGAGCTTGATTCTTGCTGAATATGGAGACATCACTTGGGCAGCGTGGACCTCTGTTCTGAGGATTGACATTAGCTTCTCAGTCCCCCTGACATCACGTCAAACGAAATTCTCAGGCTGAAGAGATCCGGACCCCACTGACCGTGTGAACTTAGACCACCTGGGTGAACGACAGCTGCCTTTTTAATTTTGTGCTTCTTTTCTGTATCATCAGGGACTGAGCCCGTGGCTCATGCGAGATATGATGTCCAGCAGACCTCAGCCCGTCAGTGCCAGCCAGAAGGGACATTTTCTCTTCTCTCTCCACTAGTGCTAACAGGAGCCCAGCAGGGTGTTACGATTTGGGTTTTTCCTGTCCCTTTCCATGTGGAGAGTTCATTTCCCATTTGCCTTTGCCGTAGGGCTGCAGTCTCTGGTGCCTTACCTTTATGTAAGGATATCCTGGGAAGTCCCTCATCTTGGGCATTTTTCTTTATTAGTTCATAATATATGGCACATAGTTTTCCGTGGCATGTTAGACTGGGGGACACCTGGTAATCAACTGGAAAGCATGGGACCTCAGGCGTGTAGAGGGGTGTGAACAGGTCCCTCTGCAGAAAAGAAAAGTCACTGAGAAGGGATAAGGAAGCAAGCAAGAAGGTGAAATCCATCAGTCAAAAAAGAAGAGGATCTGACATGACTGATAAACATTCTGATGATTATTGGTTGCAGGGAGATTTAGAGTCTGAATGGGGATAAGATAGGGCACTAGCAAGACCCGTACCTCAGGGTGGCACGTCAAAAACCAAGACTGCCAGGACGGTGGCTCCAGGAGTCTATAAAGTGTAACTAAGATTCAGTGCCTGTGGCTTCCTGTTCTTTCCCTGGAAAGGAGGGCATCTGGGGGCCTTGGTCTTTTAACTAATAGTTTTAACTAATAGCTATTTTTTGGGCTCCCTTACTACATGTAAATTCCATTAAGGGCTTTGGTCTCCCTCACGATGTCTTCCAGTGTCTATATCTGTACCTGACTCACGGCAGAGAATGCGTAAGTGCCAGGTCCTGGGACAGAACCTCAGCCATCAAGTGGCATTTTGGCCTGAGTGCCGAGATGATCCTGTTTCCAAGCCCAAACAAAAGAGTTGGAGGTTCCAGAGACACTAGAAGTAGGAGCCCTGTGGGTTGTGAAGCCAAGTGGGTCAGGACGAGGAGCCGATGTGCAGGAGGCCTGGAGCAGGCAGGGGGAAGGGACCTGCAGGAGCGCTCTGGGCAGGGGACAGCCTTCCCTGAGGCCTCTTGGTTGCTGCAGCCTCTGGTGGGGCTGAGCTGAAGCCAGGGAAAGAGCCAGTGTGGAGTGAGCAGAGAGGTTCCAGGTCACGGGAACAGATGCATGTTTAAAATGCTGTCAATGGGACTTTTTTATTTTTAAGAGAGAGAGAGAGAGAGAGAGAGAGAGAGATTTTTAATATTTATTTTTTAGTTTGCAGTGGACACAACATCTTTATTTGTATGTGGTGCTGAGGATCGAACCCAGCGCCCTGCGCATGCCAGGCGAGTGCGTTACCACTTGAGCCACTTCCCCAGCCCTGTCAATGGGATTCTTAAACCTCAAAAATATTTTACAAAACTTCTTATCTAACAAGCAACTCATAGAAATGGAGTCAGTTTCTAGGCCCTCTGCCTGGATATATCATTTTAGATTAGTGCTTTGGATCTTGACATAAAAAGTGGAGATAGCGTGATCTGCCTCCTCTTCCTGGAAGTCCCCGTCCCACTGGTGCTGGCCTGGGAAACTCCTTCAGGAAGTAACTGCTGGTTGTGCAGTTTCTGTCATACTGGGGAGAATTCCCAAAGCATGTGCACATACCCCTGCTATGACACTTATCCTAGGGCAGGGTAATGCATTGTCTGTCATTAGACTGCAAGCCCCTGTGGAGAAGTTTTATGTAGAACTCACCTTTTTAATCCCACCAGAAAGCATGGTGACTGATATATATGAGGAGCTCAAATATTGATTGAATGAATGAGAGCAAATGTCCAGTCTGGCTGAGATAGCTTCTTGCTAATCCTGAACTCCTTCTAAAAATAGAACCTCAAAATCATTTCTGATTTTTAAAATTATTTCAAACTTATCTCTAACTTGTCAGTCCTTAATAAATTACCTGGTTGATTCTAGTCTAATGGTCTACCTGATGTCCAATATGAACTCCTGCTCTTGATGCTTCCAAGTACCCCTGTTCCACATATGCTTCTCTACTTTGAGTTCCAGATGCTTATCAGAGCTCCAGAACTGAGGGCTACTGTGGGAAGCCACCCATGAATCACTTGAGGATCTTCTCTCAACTCGGTAGTCAGGGAGATTTAGATTTTGCATTGCAAACTATCTGTGGCTCTCCCTTAGCAATAGATTGCCCAAAGCATGTGACCTTCATCTCCACTCTACGGGGAAGATACCTCATAGTAGCTACAGAGATGGGCGTAACCCCTTGGGAACTGAACAGCTCACCTTTAATCTTTTTTGGTGAAGAACATTGTATGGAAGGCCTTTGATGTTTCCTGATATAAATAAAGCAGACTTGGACTCCATTTTGCCAGAGTCTAGAAGCTGGGTCTGTCTGACGGGCTTGCCCTTCCTGTCCCCACTTTTGAAACTATTTTCTGTGTCCTGTGGTTTTATTCAGCAATCTATTTTTCCTAGCTTTTAGTTCTCCGCCAGCCCATTCCATGGAGGGGAACCCCATTTCCACCACCTGCACTGGATGTGGGCATGATCACTGGCCTGTCCTCCACCCTATCTCCCAAGACTTGTTTATTCTCAGGGTGATAATTTGCCAGCACCCAGTTCCCTCCAGCCCCTCCTTGAATTCTCATTGCAAAGACATGACACATTCCAGTGAACCCGAGTAGCTGACAGGCTGTGAGAACAGAGGTTCTGCCTGCAGCAGCATGTGGTATTTCCCAGCCTGGGAAAACCCAACACAAAGAATCTCATCTTTGTTGGGTTTGTGGCCAGCTGTATCCCTCAGAAGGCAGAGGACCTCGAGGTGGAAATTGCTACTTTGGACTTTAACAGGGATGAAGTGATTTTATGGTTGGTCAATATAAAGTCTCAGATATTATATTGTTCCCAAGAAGTGGGTCTTCACAGAGTAAAGGCAGAGTCAGATAGCGGGAGGAGTCCCAGCTACACATTCAGAAGCATCTAAGTTTACTTCCCAACTCAGTGTGAACCTGGGCAAGGTATCTAACCTTTGGAGATCCACTGTCCTGGTTCACATTACAGGGATGAAACCTATTTTGAAGGCTTGTTATAAGGATAGCATGTGAATTCACTAACAGTGTTAACTAGAGAGTATAGGAAATGAAGACCCTTCAAAGTTAAGTAACTCAAACAAAGCTACACAGTTGTAAAGCATCATGATTTTGGTTTTATCCCTGTGTCAACTGATGTGATATGCGTTATCTCTGGTTTATCAGAAGCTCTAATTAATGGTTATATAACTTTATAATTCAAGAAGAAAATTAATTATTTGATAAACAGCCCTTACTTGATAGCAATATTTGAAAATAACAACATGAAATGGTGTACTACTTAAAGAGGTTTTGGCATTCTGCAGAAGTTATCTTGGTCTCTTTACCAAGTCAATGCCAAAAAAGTTGAGGTACCATTACAGATTAAAGGAGGCAAAAACACACTATGTCAACTTTAACTTGATTTGGTGTGAACAAGCTGGTTATGGAACATGTTGGCGAATTTGAATATGGACTAAGTGGTGATAATACAGAATTGTTATTTATTATTAGGGAAGGTAATGGCATTATCTATCTATTGGAGCTATAAATTTAGCTATTTAGTATAAAATGTCAGAATGTCTTTATTTAAAAAGTGATTTGGCCAAGCATGATAGGCGAAGGAACTATGGCAACGTATTGACGAGTCTGACTCCAGGGGGACGATACACAGGTGCTTTGTGCTATTTTTCCTACTTCCCTGTGTATGTAAATGTTTTCATAATATATTTTATTTTTTTTTCATAATATATTTTAAAGATAAGATCTTTTGGAATCCTTGCTCTAAAGAAGGGATTCTGAAGTTGAGCCATGGAGTCTGACTCCTGACCCCATTCTTTCCAACAACTTGTATCAAAGACAGAGAGAAAGAAGACAGGTGATTGAACATGGAAGGACTAGTGAGTGTCAGGATCTAGATTCAGAAAGATGGTGGCTATCTGGAATGCAGCTAGAGAACCCTAGAAGAAATACAGGGTCATGCATAGGGTTTTCAAAAAAATTTTAGCAGTAGGAAGGAAGCTGTCAGAAAGGAAATTCTCACTAGAATAATAAAAAATCTTAGTTGGTGGCAGGTCAGTGTGGGACAATGGATGGGACTCGGCTACTGGGAAAGAGTGCCACTTCAGCCTTGTTCCAGGCAGTGGGGGATCCAGGACCTGGAGGTTGAGAGTCCCATGGCCACATCTGGCCAGGCTACATCTAGAGTTTCCGATTTCATTCTAGCTGTCACACTGGGTTGGGTTCAAAGAGAATGAGAGGAGCTATATCAATCAATGGCCAAAGAACCAAAGAACAAAAACAACAAGAAGGATATGAGAGGCCATCATCAAGGGTTTTGTGCAAGAGGCGCTAGTCCCACACAGGCAGGGCCATAAAAAGGAAACAGCTGTGCCTGTATCAATCAAATGAAGAATTTTTGTAGAAGTGCTCTGGGGAAGGATTGCATGTATCAAATGGAAAGCATCCTATAAAACATTGTTGCTTTCATTTAATGACAGGAGAACAATGCTACATTTGGTGGAAAGAGAGAGGGAAAGAAAAAGTGCTTTGAAAGTGTAAAATATTACAAAAGCAGTAAATATTTGTTTCTAGGAGTGGATACTAGCATTTAGGTGGCAAAACTTCAAAGGGCCAGAGATAAAATGTATTCTTGGAACTGGAAACTTGCTTGAACTTTGTAGTAGTCAAGGACCATGTTGTTTAAGTGTCAGGAAGACAGTTACATTAATAGTTTTTTGGGTTTCCATTTCCAAAGCTAGATTAGCTTTCTGGCAACTTTAAAATTAAAGTTTTTTTTTTCATCCTGTTCTGTGTTTGAGTCAGTAAAACATTCAAATGGTTCAGAATTCAAAGAACAAATAAGGGAACATTCTGCAAAATCCTCTCTGCCAATTTCTGTCCTCCAGCCATTTAGTGTCACTCTGTAGAGCAAACTAGTGTTACAAAAATCTCTTGTTTTTATGTTCATCTTCCTCTTTATGCATTTTTCTCAAGATGAGAAACTTTCTCAAGATGAGAAACAAGGAAATAAGGGTTTCCTGACTTTCTGACTATGTGACATCCCACAGGATAATCCTATTCATGATTAAGTCAGGGATGACCCCAAGAGGTTTAGGGAGAAGTTTTCCCTGAAATAGCAGACACATGCTGGAGCCTATTTTGCTTTTCTGCACTCCCTTGGCCAGGTAGTTAAATGTCATGTTGAAGGCTTTGCAAAGAACAAGAGAAAGCATTCTGTGTGGATAAATATGGCTATTTCTCCTCTGATCATTTTTCCTGATAAGGTTACACAATTGCTTTTTTGTTCCTGTCCAGAGAGCTGGACAGTTAGTGATATAGAAAGTGTTATCTCTGTAGTTACTGGTGTTCATTTCGTAACTCACGAGCAGTGAAATCCCCTCCTTAAAGGCCGAATCCTAATACCTCCTAAACAAACCCTCTGTAGCCTCACGGTCCCATATTTAGGGATCTCAGTTTGTATTTTTTCATATTGCTTCTAGGCCTAGGAATTGACTATTCTTCATTTGAAAAGTCTCTCAAGTATAAGCTGCGTGTCTCCTACAGGGATTGGTGTAAGGGTGCTATGGTTCTTGTTCTCATTAAGTTATAGTTTTTTTTTTCCTCAAAAGTTAACATGCATGAAATAGGGATGATATTTAATAAAGTGCCAAATTAAGATGGCTTTGAGAGGAACATGGTTGAAACAGGATTCATCATCCCAGTTTTCTCTAGGGGTTAGTTTAATGTTATCCATTCCTAAAGTTTCTAATTTAACTTGATTCTTAAGGAATTTGTTATAGGTTTATTAATAGAAACATGGCCCAAGCTGCTTCTTCCCCTTGTCAACATTATATACTGCTGGGCAAGGCTCTTTTCACCCCTAAGACCTCCCTCAACCTGAGTAGCTTCACCTCAATAAGACATTATGAACAGGACATTCCTTAGGAGGAAATGGTTCTGTCAAACTTAGCACACTTGGGATACATGGAGTTGTGTAGTTTCTCGACATATTCTGGATAATGGGAAGCTCCAGAATGGAATGTCACTAGCCCCGGAGCCAACAGGCCCCCAACAGGCTTCCCCTGAACCTCCCTCCCTCCTGTCTTCTTTCTCTGAAAGCTGCAGCATGGCTTTCCCCAAGTTCAGCATTTCTGTCCATTCCTAGCAGTAAAGAGTGATGGCCTAACTTCTTCCTACTCATCTCCAACTCCTAAAGGCTGGAGTGTCTCCCCAATAGTGCCACAGGCTGGTCACCAAGCCTTCATACATGTGCTTTGGGAGACATTTAATATCTAACTATAATACTCTGTCTTCATACTAGAGAACTCTAGGATATTATTCTTTTTGACGGGATGTTGGAAATTTGCTGGTGTTCTAGGTGCAACAATCACAGTGAGATTTAGGAAGCATTTTATCTCACTATGCACACAACATTCAGCTTACTGCAAAAGCTCTAAATAATTGTATCTGAGGCACATATTTTCCCTAATGCATGGGTCGATACTCTAAATTCTTTCACTGGATATATTGATTTATAAAAACAAAGGAAAAGAATTCTCAAAAAACAAAAGAAGTGCTGCTAGCTGGGCTGTGTATCTGGTGATCTGAAATGATACCAGAATCTGTGGGCCCCGTTATGAACACCAGCTGAACTGAAAGCAAGTATCAGTACACAAGGAATATAGGGAATAAAACAAGTTTTCTGTTTGGGTTGGTTTGTTTTTGTGCAAGAATTGAGGTCAGTTTAGGCGTGAGGTCATTTGTTTGGGATTTCTGAAGTCCATTCTTCAAGTACAGTTGGCACAGAGGTTGGTTCTCACATGTTGGTCCAGTTGGTTCTCACATGTTGGTCCAGTTAGTCAGGATTTGGAATTTCAAAAGGCCGTTGCCTCCTAAGGAACAGAAGAGACCTTTTTTATAGGAACATCCTGAAGCCGGGCAGGGAACACATAAATTTTGTAAGCCTAGACCTTTTGCTCTCTGACACTGCAGACACAGTGACCAGGACGGATGTAGAGACTCACATCCCCAAAGTAACCACACCCTAAACCACAGCCGTTGGGGTGGACTTGAAGGCCCAAAGAACAGACGAACAGCTGATCTCTGCAGCGCTGCAGGTGATGTGAGGAGGGCCAGGCGAGGCGTGGGTCCCCCAGCAAGGGCCACAACTGCCAAGCACTTGCCATTCTCCAGGCACTGCCTCATAGAGTCCACTGTCATCTATCAGACTTAACCGACAGAAGCAAGGACAGAAGGATGGCTTCTCTCTCTCTCCTTTGTCTTAATAGTATAAATTCTTAAGGGGCCTCTGACCTGAAGAAAGGGGCAAAGGAACTTCCATAGAAAATCAATGTCTTAGAAACACCAGAATGTCATCTGTCACAGCATGGATAAGATCTAAACCAAATAAAGAGAGAGGTCCTTTCCAAGTTCTATTGCAATCGATGAATCTTTATAATCATACACACCAAATTGTTTTGTCTTTAGGAGAAATGAGTGAGAATGTGGCCAGAGCTGAACACCAGCAACTCTTAGGAAGGAAAAGCTAAGTCCCTTTTTTCAGAGGTAGGAGGGAATCATGGGAGAGGAACACTGTGGGAGACTGGCTGGGCAAGGTTATTCTCTGAGTTGAGGTCAGGACTCCCCCCACTCACTGTGTCATTGTCTTGCCCCAGGGTCCTTTCTGGACATGAGAGAATGTTGATTCTTCTCAAGAGCTTTGTAGGCATCTGACAGCATACCGTAGAAGACAGCTGTCCTGGGGCCCAGAATGGGCAGTTTGCAGGGAACGCTCTCTGGAGGTTGAAGCGAGGAGGAGGAAGAACAGGGCTGCTTAGATTCCACTATTAAGGAAACTCAGAATAACCACCAAGCACTTCTCCCACCTTATGAGACAGATTCAAAACCCATATGTTCTGAATTGAGTCTGTTTTTTAATGGAACCATCTTATCCCCAACAACATTTAAGCTTTCACAGATCTTGTCAAAGAGGCCAAAAGTAGTACCTAGAAATAAAACCCAACCGTTAGGAATCATTGCCAATTAAATTAAAAATGAAGATAAAACATATCTGGAGCTGTGATATTAGTCAAAGGGAAAAGAGCTTTTGATTCTCAGGAGGCTTTTCAGGGACACAAGCATAGTTCTGTTCTCTGAAAAAATAACCATGATCTTACAAAAAGCTACAGCACGGAAAGAAAGCATTCTGCAATTCCAAAGGAGACTCCGTTTTTGGCCTAATTTATTTTTAGAGATCTTTAAAATCCTTATCCTCCTGACCTCCTCTCCAAATATGATTTCCTTTGTGAAAAGTTGGTTAGCATTCAACTTCTGCAGAAGATACATTGCCTGAAGGAAAGTACAACAATGTGGGAAATAACACCTTCCCCCTGGGAATCCTTGAATGACCCTGAGAATTGGAGTCCTGAATTCTCTGGAACAAGCTCCTTGGTCAAGCCAGATGAGAGCTAGACATAGCATAGGGTCACAAATCTAGAATCCAGTTTAGTCTAATGAAGCGAGTGAAGAGGAAACAGTGGTCCAGGGGGACAGGCACAGATGGGCTAAGGACCAGATCTTAGTTCTAACTTAGTGCTCTTTGTATCATATCACACTACTGTGCCAGATGGTAGGTGTAAATCAGGCGGTTGACATCAATGCCGATGTTTATAAAGAGCAAGAGCCTGTGGTGTCATGAGACTCTGGAGTTGAGCCAGAGAAAAATGCACCCAGAAGAAAACCCACAGCACTTTTGAGATATGTTCTTTTAATTTATTTAGTTCTCATTAAGAAGTACTAGTAATATATAAAGTTAGGTGATCCAGAAAAAACGAGCTAGACAATCGCTGGCATACTGTGCACTGGACGAGCTGGCCGCTCAGTGTCCATAGCATGTGTCCAGGGAGCACAGCCAGGTGGGCGACAGCTCCGGCAACAGGCTGTGGTGCTGTAATACTGACGTCCAAGCTGAACAACGCTGTGGGCCCGGGCAGTGCCAGCAGTCTTTCTGGGCTGGTTAAAGGTGAAGGTTTCTGGTGTCGTCTAGCTCTCCTGCGACAAGAAGCTTCTCTGGTTTTGAAAGTAGAAACATGGAAACCAAACCCACACACAACTAGAGCCAACAGGAGGTCCACAAGCTTTAGCTTCTAGTCAATTCTGCAACCACTGTTCCTGCAGCTCCATCTCCCAGGTTGCTGTCCTATGTTGCACTCTGTGGGCAAGAGCCACTCCACGGCTAGCTCCTCTATTGCTAATTGAAGTTCACCCTCAGGGCTAAGGAATTAGTGAAAAGCATCATGTTACACTGTCCTCTAAGATCAGAAAATAAATGTTCTTGCTGACAGAAGGACAGGTGTGTGTGTGTGTGTGTGTGTGTGTGTGTGAGAGAGAGAGAGAGAGAGAGAGAGAGAGAGAGAGAGAGAGAGAGAGAGAGAGAGATTTAGTCCTTTATAAGGCAGGTCTGAAAAAATCCAGGACCAAGGGAACCCCTGAGTGAGGGTGTGACTGACACAGATAACCCTGAAAGCTACTCTAGCTAGCTGTGCACGCTTATCACCTGGTGTCCTCTTTATGAGGTGGTCACAGTCCAGATAACAGCCGAGTGGGGAGCTTCCATTGGGTGGATGTTCTCAGCTCTGGGCTCTTGATTCCACTTTGGCCACATAAGAGCCAGGAACTCAGCCAACATTTCTGAATACCTAAGGAGTGGCTCAGAGGGACTTGGCAGCCCTGCTCTGTGCTAGAAGGCAGTGAAGCGCTCCACACACATCGGCTCTTACTTGGGTCTCTGGTCCTCTTTTTTGGCATCTCCTCAAGAAATCTTGTCAATCCTGTGATTTTCTTTCTAAATGGATTCTCAGTTCAGTTCTGCCTCGAATCCCTGGGAACCTCCCAGGGTAGAGCTTAGACTTTCTCCTCTACATAAAGTCATCGTGATTCTCTTTACTGCCTGTGTTGAATGGAAGCGCAGCTTCAGGTGGCTTCAGTTAATTTGGGAGTAAACTAATTTGGGAGCTTATTTGGGAATAGAGAGCTTGGGCTACTCCATACCCTTGAAATATGCTGCCCCCAAGAACAGCCCACTCCTACCTTCACCAACCCATGGCTGGTTTCTCCAAAGGATGAGTCTTAGGTCTGAAGCCTGAGAGTGAGCCACCACCCTTGTTTCTGTTAACAATAAGTGAACACTGGGGAACACTGGGGAGCTCTGGGAGAAGGTGGGTGTTTTAGGGAGGCTGTGGGACAAAATTTGCAGGGCCTTTGAGGGGCCATTCCAGGGGTGTGGAGGTGTAGTTCCCTGTACACTTAGGCTAGTGCCTTTGGGATTGCCATGGAGGGACTCACTATTAGAACTTACTATGGAAACTGGTCAAAGCGTGTGGTGTGGAGACAGCGTGGGAAAGAGCATGATGTGGAGAGGGGCGGGTGGTGTCTAGGAAGGGACAGATGGGTGGAGTACGAGGGAGGAGGCCAAATCCTCCCAGTGTGTCACAAGGCAACGTGTGACAGAGAAAGTGATAGAGAATGTTCAGAAAATTTAGAAATTATCTTAGGAATTAAATCTTCCACTCTACCACCCTGGACATGGTATATCTCACCTTGCAAATTCTCTGAAAAGAGACTAACCTGTTGCCATGTTCTCACGGGAAGGTTTAGGTTCAGTCTGGGATCCGCATTGATGAAGATTCATCATTCTGATTGGAAGAAGCATGAATGCACATGAGTCCACTTTTGCCAGAGCTTGAGGAATGGGAACTGGTCTTTGCACATCTTAAAACAGATGATCTCTGGACCCCAGCACCTGTTAGCCTGGTGATCAGACCACTTTGCAGGAGTGAGATGACTGGGGGAAGAACACCCATTCTCAAGGTCTTTTATTTAGTGATATTTTCATGGGTTTTGAGAAAACTTTCATTTAAAAATATTTTATTCCACTGTCAAAACTCATATGATCTGAAAATAGGACTAAGGAAAGAATCCTCTAATTCCAGAGAAAAAATAACACACTTACAGATCACTGATTTATCCTTAAAGAGAGAAGTTTTGGTTAGAACCTTCTGTGTCTCAGTATGGGGGAGAAATTAAATACTACCATATAGCGTAGATAGCTTTTCATTTGTTTTAACGTAGGGGAGCTCTCTTTTTGCTTTCAACCCTCTACCTCATGGCAGTCAACAGACAAGTTTTTCAGCAAAATAACTGAATCCTTCTTCATTGTCCAATAATTAAATACAACCCCCCCTTTTTTAAAACTAACAAACTAGAATTTTGACTGGATGTCATTTCTGTTCCATTTGGTGGTGTTAAGAAATCACCAAATAACAACCAAACAGACATAAAGGATTTTAGTTACTAAAAAGTGGCAGACTCAGGGCAGGTTGTGCGTCATCTCCCGTATCTTCTGAATCAGATGTGACATCTACTTGGAGGCTTTATGTTGAGTTCTGCCTGAGTTCTCAAAGGACTCTCCTATCCTTTATGCTTTCCTTGTGAAGGTATAAAGAAAGATCATACTTTCCCCACAATAGTTCAATAATTGTTCAAGAACAAATAAAAGGTGAAATAACGTTATTTAGTCTGGTTTAACAAGAAAATGAAACCATTCCCTAAACATGTGATTACTCTGCTCCTCAGTCCACAATCCTGAATCCCGAACAAATATAACCAGAACGAAAGCCATATCCCAAGGCCAATCTTTGGCTTACCTTTGGCTCACAAAATTCTCAAAGGATAGTTTCAGATACTCTGGATTGATCACAGCTCCTGGTTGTACCTGAGGAGGAAAGCCCCACTTAGAACACTGGAGAACTACGTTCTGGTGGAAATAAATGATGTCTCACTTTAGCAAACTCAAGTTGTATTTGACATCAAAGTCCTTTATGCATCCTTTCAGAGGGTCTCACCCTGTCCTCAAGTCATAGGGTCTTTGTTCTTTCCAGGTTCTGAGACTTGGAAGTTAGATTCCTCAGGATGAGCAAGGCTTCAAGACCTGTTCAGACCACCCTGGTGCATTCTTCAGGTCTCGGGGCCCCTCTCACAGAGGCCACAGGCTCCCGGACCACTCTTGGTAATCCTCTGCCTTTGGTTCTGAGGGCTTCCTCTATCAGATGCTCATCAAAGTTTTATTGTATTTCTGTGCTTATTGTCTGGCTACTCTGATAGAATTTCAGCTTCAGGGGACAGAGACCACATCTCTATTTTTGTATTTCCATCTCCCAAACTGCCACTCAAGACATTTTTTGACCCCATTAGTGAAGAAATGAGCCCACTTTGAAGCATACTTGAAATTTTTATGTGTGCCCTTCATACAGGCTAAATCCAATATGAATTTACAGAATTACTGGTTTAAATCATCTTGAGTTTTTTTCAAGTTGATGACTAACACTAGTTAGGACTTTTTCAATATTTCTCCAAAGGGACTGTAGCTCTGACAGTATGTGATCATCACAAGACGTGGGTGCAGGTGTTCAGCTGGCCTCCTCACTGAGTGACCTGAGATTCAAACTTGCGACACAGTTGCAAATTACAATGTGTCAAGAACCTCTAGAGGTACTTGAAAGTAGCAAAAATCGGAATATCAGTGTACACAAAGGCCATCACCTACTGTATTGAGTTAGATTGTTCTCCTGTCTCATTAGCTGAGGGGAGGATGAGGGGTGGGCAGTAAAGGCTTTAGTGAGAACCGAAGGACAGTTTCTAGATAATTCTACATAAAAGGGTAGAGAATATGCCAAAGACAGATTTGGCCATTTTCTAAAATTTCATCTATAGTTGTCTCTGCTTGAAGGAAAGATGCAGGCAACTCTACCCCCTCCTGAAGAGCATGACCCCTGTTGTAAAGCCTCTAAGTCCAGCTGGGTATTGCATGTGTGAAGTGGGCTGTAGGGGCTATGCCAGAACAAAGCTGCCAAGGACAGGATGTTTGTTTCTGAAAAGAAAGTATCTGGCAGGGGTGGGGGGTAGGGGGCGGGGGCACTCCTATTTATTCTTCCACCCATATTGATTTTCTTTCATTTTAACTGTACAAATTTATGGGTCAGGTGTAATAATTCAATATGTGTATATAGTGTGTAATGATCAAATCAGTGTAGTTAACATTTCCCTCTTCTTAACATTTAATAATTGTACTTATTTATGTAGTACACTGTGATATTTCAACACATGTAGACAACAGATACTGATCAGATCAGGGTAATTAACTGTCCCTTCTCTTTATTGACTTTGGAACCTTCCAGCTTCTCTCTTCTAGTGGTAGTTACAGGCACCCGATTGTGCTGGAGAACACTGGAGCTTATTACTTCTAAGTGTGTTTTGGTATCTGTTATCCAACCTCTCACTGTCCCCCTACCCTTTTGCCCTCTAGTAATTTCTATTATATATTCCAAGCAATGTTTTAAAAACACCCATATACAAGAGACAACTTGTCTTTCTGTCTGATTCATTTCACTGAAAAAAAAGAATTCCACTCTCATACATTTTGCTGTAAATTGCAGAATAATTTTCCACGATGGATAAGTACCATCCTTTCTTTATCTTTTCATCCTTTATAGACATCAAGGTGGATTCCTATCATGGCTACTGTGAACAGTGCAGCAATAAGCATGGGTGAGGTGTCTCTTTGGTGTGCTGATATCCTTTCTTTTGGATATGAACCCAGAAGAGGGATAATTGGGTTGTTTGGTGGTTCCATTTTTGGTTTTCTGAGAAACATGCATACTGTTCTCCATAATGGCTAGTTTACATTACCAACAATGGTGTATAAACATGCCCTCTTCTCTACATTCTTGTTGCATTTATTGTTTTTTGACTTTGCAAATGCCATTCAAACTGGAGAAAGATGATATTCATGGTGGTTTTGACTAGCCTTTCTTTGACACCTGATGAACTTGAACAGTTCCTTCCCAAATTTGTTAGTCATTTGAACTTTTTTTGAGAAGTCATTATTCATATCCTTTGCCTATTTTTAGTTGGATTATCATCATTTTTAAAAGTTTTTAAATGTATTCTTGATATTAACCCTTTGTCAGATGAGTAGCTTACAAACTTTCCTCCCATTCTGCAGTTTTCTCTTCACTCTCTAATTGTTTCCGTGCTGTGCAGAAGCTTCTTAGTTTGACATAATCTCATTTCTACGGCTGTTTTGTTTCCTGTGCTTTTGGGGTTTTATCCAAATAATCATTGCTTATATAAATGACTTGAAGTGTTTCCCCTATGTTTTCTTTAGTAATTTCAGTTTTGTGTCTTACCTTTAGTCCTGATCTACTGTGAGTTTATTTTTGTAGAGTGAGAGAAGGGTCAGGTTTCAGTCTTCAGCATGTGCATATCCAGTTTTCCCAGCACCATCTCTGAAGAGACAATCTTTTCTCCAATGGGTATTTTCCGTATCTTTGTGGCAAATCAGTTGGATGTAAATACATGGATTACTCTATTCTTTTCTATTGGTCTGTGCTTCTCTTTTTATGCCAATATTATGCTGTTTTTTATTGTAGCTTTATGGCATATTTTGAAGTAAGGTAGTAGGATACCGACAGCTTCTATTTGTGTGTGTGTGTGTGTGTGTTCTCTTTCTTTTACCATAGTTTTAAATTTCATTGTAGACATCTTTTACTTTCTTGGTTGAATTTATTTCTGGGCATTTTTTGTAGCTATTGTGAATGAAATTCCTTTCATGATTTCTTTTTTAGAAATTGGTGTATAAAAATGCTTCTGATTTTTGTGTGCTTCTTTTTTTATTGCAGATGAACACAATACCTTTATTTTGTTTATTTAGTTGTTGTTGTTGTTTTTTTTAATGTGGTGCTGGGGATCCAACCCAGCACCACATTAAAAAAAAAAACCTACCCTGTGTAACCTACCTTACACAGGGTAGGCAAGTGTTCTACCATTGAGCCACAACTCCAGCCCATGTGCTTCTGATATTGCATCCTGCAACTTTACTGAGTTCATCTTTCAGTTCTAACAGTCTTTTGATGGAATTCTTAGGTGTATGTGTGTGTGCATGTGTGTGTGTGTGTGTGCACGTGTGATCTACAAACAGGGGCCATCTGACTTCCTCCCTCCTGTTTGCATGTCTTTCCTTTCTTCTGATTGCCTGATTGCTCTGCTAGTCATTCCAGCATGATGGGAGCGAGCAATGGGAGTGGTGTCCTTGTCTCATCCAGACCTTAGAGGAACTCCAGCTGCTCCCCTCAGCATGCTGGCGCTGAGTTTGTTACACAGGACCGTGATTACGAGATGCTTTCCTTCTATACCTTTGTCAAGAGTTTTGTCATGAAATGATGTTTTGAATGTTTATTGAGTGCTTTTTCTGCATCTATTTTTAGTGATTTTTATCCTTCGTTTTGTTGATGTGATGTATTACACTTTTTAACTTATATGTGTTGAATCATCCTTGCATCCCTGGGATAAATTTCACTTGATCATGATGAATGATCTCTTTGATATGCCACTGGATTCAAATTGCTAGTATTTGAGAATTTTTGCATTTATGTTCATTAGAATTATTGACCTGTAGTTTTGTTTGTTATTGTTGTTGTGTGTGTGTGTGTCCTTGTTTGATTTCAGTATCAGGCTATACTGGCCTCATAGAATGAGTTTGGAAGAATTCTCTCACTTTCAATTTTTTTGGAATAGTTTGAGATGTATTGATATCAGCTCTTAAGTCTGGTATAATTTTTAGCAGTGAAGGAATCTGGTCCTGGACTCTTCTTTATGGGGGTTCTTTTGATTTCTGAGTCAATTTCATCACTCATTACTGTTCTGTCCACTCTTTGTACTCATGGTTCAATTCGTGCCTGGATGTCCATACCTTTCCAGATTTAGGGGACTTTTCAGTTACTACCTCGTTGAGTGGGCGAGAGACTCTAGAAGCTTGCCTGTTCTCAGTCCCATGGGCTGCCTATGCCTTTGCTTCCCCCTCTGTGCTAGAACACTACCCCCACATGGCATGGGCTTGGGTGCTGGAATCACATTTGCTTGACTGGATCAAACTGAATCTGTGAGGTTGCAGTCCCTTGTGCTACTACGGAAGCATGTCTGAGGGGTCCCAGGATCGGGATATGCAAAGATTCCTTACCTTTAGGGCAGTATGAATTCTGACAATAATTCCCTTCTTAAGGTGGTGTCTAGTCTAGCAGCCTGGCCCTGGGATTTGATGGGGAAGACACTGTCAGTTCCTTGTCCAAATGAAAGCTATAGGGAAGATTTTGGATCACTCCTCTCACTGATCTGCAAGCCCGTGATGCTGGTAGAACTTTCCGGTGGCTAGATTGCTGGTGGCTGTGCTGATGGGGCTTACGGGCTCTTGAGTTCACCCTCACCTCTGCTGAGGGGGCGTCCCTTCCCTGGTCCATGCAGGTGTGCCGTGCTCCTCTTTCTATGCTGCTGTTTCAGGGTTCTGGGCCTTACAAGTCCTGGTCTCTCCTTGCTGAATTTCAGTGCTCTCCCAGGGTCATCATCTCAGAGTGTAGCTTCTACCTGTTGTTTTGGTTTTCCTGTTGGAGGAGGCCATGAGTTCTGGGCACCTCTGTTTGCATGTCTTGCAATCCCCTGTTCATTCTGGAAAAGGCTGAATAGTCTCTTTCTTCTAGAAACTGTCCCCGAGGTTTACCTTCCCTTCACTCCCACCAGGTCTGTTCTATTTCTTTTCATCATATTTTGTTGTCAATATTTGTTTATCTTTTGGCTTCTTAAAGACAGAGCTTGACTTATTCTTTTTCTCTTCATTGTACTTGAGAAAGTAGGAAAGCACATTTTGTTCTTCTGTTTCAAGATAATTTTGACTGTTCTGTATCTATTGAATTTTATTATGAATTTTAAGATCTGCTTGCCAATTTCTTAAAAAAATGGCTTCTGGGATGTTAAGAGGGATGGCACTGAATCTGTAGATAGATGGGGCAGTATTGCCGTCTTTATAACATTAATAAGAGTTCCAATCCATGAACATGGGTTCTTTCCATTTATTTAGGTCTTATCTTCCTATGATATTTTGTAGTTTTTAATTTACAGATCTTGTATAACCTTATTCCTAAGTATTTTTGATGCTAATGTAAATGAGATTATTTTCTTAATTTCATTTTGGTTGTTCATTGTTAGTATAGAGAAGCAAATCAATGTTTGTGAATTAAACTTGTATCCTGCAATTCTACTGTGCTTATCTATTGGCTCTAACAGTGTGTGTGTTCCCAGGACATTCTAGATATGGGATTCATGTTACCAGAAATAGAAATAGTTTTACTTTTCTCTTTCTTTGCCCTAATTGCCCCAGTAGAACGCACCGTACCATATTGACTAGAAATGGCAAGTGTAGACATTCTTGCCTTGTTCCTGGCCTTAGGGGAAATTATCCAGGCTTTCACTGTTAAGATCCCCCTTGTTAGGTTGAGGAAGTTGGCTTCTTTTCCCTCCCCATACCACTAAGGAAGGAGGCGCTGCTGGTTAAGCCCCTCGGCTGTCCCAACCCTGGAGGCTGTTGAAGAGCCACTGTCTGGTGGGGCGGTGGTGCTTCAGGCATGGTTTCTGACACTCTGAGGCTTCCACCAGGTCCCATCAGCAGCAGGGACGAGTGCGTGGGCACCTCTGTGTCGGGAGACCTTCCTTTCAGAAGCTGCAGCCAATGTGGGAGCATGGTGTGTGGCAGCACTCCAGTCAGGCTGGCAAGGGCAAAGGTCAAGGACGAGGTCTTGAGAAGGAGGACAGCTGTGGAAGCCCCGTGCGAGCCAGTGGCCAAAGCTGGCATGGGCCTAGGTTGGCACGTTCTACACTGATTCCAGTCCAGACACCAGGCGGTGCCCAGGCTGCACTCTGTGGTGCCGGCCAAGGGAAAGCCAACACAGACTGCAACTCCCAGGCGGCCTCCCCAGCGGCATCAGGTGCATTTCCAGTTCCCACACAAAACCCTTGTGGACTGCCGCTCTGTTCCCGCCCTGCTGGCCTGAAGCACCTTTGCCATGAACTTGGGGAAGGAGCCTCTCTTGAATCTCCTGTTTTCCTTCCATCCCTTGCTCTCCCTTGGACCCCAAAGTAGCTCTCCCGGCCTCCTTCCCAGGTCCAAGGAGAGTCCCGATATCAGAGTTGAAGAGGTCTTCCCATCCCCTACCCTAAACTTAGCCAGGAAGCTGAATTACCTTCAACTCGAGCCTCATCCTGGCCCCAACACTAACCCTGCTCCTTAAATCAACCCAGGTCTCCTCACTCTGAGATGGGGAGCCTCCGTCTGAAACGGCCTCTTTCTTTAGCAGCTCCGACAGGTGGCAGAGGTTTGTCCTTGCTCCCTCCACACCCCCTTTATGTCCTCTTTTTTCCTGATACTCCTCCCCCACCACCACCCTCCACCACCAGCTATAGCTACGGTACCGAGTGACACCTCCACTAGATAGACACTACTGGGGAATCTCCCCAGCTTTTCTTCCCAGGTGCTGGCTACATCACGATAAACCCAAAGACGAAGCTGCTTGTTTCATGATTATAATGGTTGAAGAGGACTCTGTGTGTGTGTGTGTGTGGTGCTTGGGAGATGTTAAGAGGGGAAAAGAAGCCCCATAACCTCTGTAAGAGTGACTTACAAGCCCAATTGGTTTACCTCATCATCTCGTCTCTTTCCCCTGGTCCCCCAACCTTGGCTCACCTCTGGCTTGTTGAAATGTGGAAGGTGAAACATTTTGCGTGACCAACTTGACACATGCCCGTTTCTGTCCCCCACCCTTGCTTACCATTTTTTTTTCTTGACATGCGGCGCACAGCCTCTTATGTCTGAGTGACAGGGGGTCACGCTGGTTCTTCCTGGCCTGAGGGGGAAGAGAACCAGAGAGCCGTAAGTTAATGGTGAGTTCCCTGGGGTAGAGAGGCCAGAGAGGTAACAACGTTTCCTTCCATAGACAGACAGGCACTCTGTCTCAGCCCTCCAGGGCCATCGCTGACTCAGGTTTGTTACCTTCGGTAGGTTAGCGGGGAGTGGCCCCAGGCGGGGTGGCTGTGGGCATGCTCCAGTGGTGCAGGCTTAAGGACAGGACCTGGGGCCAAAGACGAGGGCTGGCGTCCACAGGGTCTCTCCTTTCCAACCCGAGCCCCCGTGGCTGAGGAACTGCATCTCCATGGGCAGCGCAGGTACCCCACGTACACAGGTTCTCCACCAAACGTCCAGCTGAGGACTCTGGTTATGGTTTGGATCTGGAGTGTCCCCAGATTGTCCATGTTGGAGGCTAGGTCCCCAGGGCAGCAATACCCAGAGCTGGGCTTCTGGAAGGTGACTGGATAAACAGTGGCTCTAACCTCATCAGTGATTAGCCCACTGAGGGACAGTTCATGGTTGCATGGACTTCTGGGAGGTGGCGGAGGCCAGGAGGTGGGCCCAGCTGGAGGGAGTGGGAGCATCCTCTCTCCCCATTTCCTGGCTGCCATGAGGTCAGCAGCTCTGCTCCACCAAACCACCCCTGCCCTGATGTCGTGCCTCTCCACAGGCCCAGGATCAATGTAGCTGAGCATGAATGTCGCCTCTGAAGCCGTGAGCCTAGGAGACCCTTCTCCCTTCTGTCTCCCCAGATATTTGGTCACCGCAATGAAAAGCTGACTGGCACACAGCCTATTCTAAGGACAAGTGGAGGCTTCTTTTCTGCACCCTCCTTTCACCAGCCCCTCCCTGGTGCACCCTCTTTTCTCAGCCTCACCTCTGGCTCAATGCCAGCTCTCAAGCATCCATGGCCCAGTGGTGTGTGGGCCATGCCACACCTGCCCCATCTCCGTAAAGCTGTGCATTAAGCCACCCACAGAACTGAAGCTGGCATCTCCTGCCCTCTCGCTCCTCTGGGTTGGAGAGGCCACTCCAGCCCAGCAAAGGTGCTGCTACTGGAAGGACGGTGGGTACCCGTCTGGTCAGGGCACCCACTCCTTTCTTTTTGACTTGGTCTCTGTGAAAGGGTGAGAGACAGGACTTTGGGGCATGTACACCTGCATCATGAAGCTCTCATTTACGTCTCTGGCAAGAGGTTTGTTAGGGAGGAAATGGAAACTTGAGGTTAAAGCTATGTTTGGAGCTTCTCTCTCAACTCTTCTCACGTGCACGGACTTGAAAGTTGCGTGGTAGGTTCCTAGAAGGTATAGAACATAGGGAAGAGGAGGCCACAGTGACAAGCAGAGGGTGACAATTAACTGAAGCCTTCTGCTTCTCATCCACAGCCTTGTCTACTATCAGTACATGGTGCCTGACCCACTCCTGCTGCCCTGGGGGGTGGCTGAGTGGGCCTGCAAGTAGCTTCATCCTGTGAATAATGAATGGCACTTGGGGTCTGAGGACCGAACACTCTTGCCAATGTTGGATTCTTTTGATAAATATTTAAAATATGCTTCATTTTTATATTTTAAAATAATCAACTCAGTGTTACAATCTGGGGGCTGGCATGTTAAGGTCTGTGTGTGGGTGACTAGATCCGTTCATTCAAGAACAAACTCTGACTGTGAGGCCACCATTGAGGCTGTGGCAGGGGCCAGAGGGTCGAATAAGACAGTTTCCGGCCCTAAAGAGGACAAGAGAAGAACGTGAATTCACTCAGTACCTGGGATCCAAGCCACAGCTTCTGACCTCATGCTGTCACCCTCTGTGTACCTGGAAGTGTGACGGGGTTGAAGGTACTGTGACAGAAACACATGGGGACCACAGTGAGGCTGAAAGCAGGTGGGCGCTCACCTAGGAGCAGGGCAGAGGAGGGGTCTGAAGGGTTACGAGACAGGCAGTGCTTAGGTGGGCATTTGTCGGCTGTGAGCAGGGGAGAGGGGGAGGCCTCCATCCAGGAAACACAGAATGACCCAGTCAGCCAGCTTCGGGTACCAGAGGGCAGGGTGCAGTGGCCAGCGTATCTGGAGAAAGAAGTAGGGTGAGAAGGGGGACTGCAGAGGGGAGTCTGTGTGGATGGACTCCTCTGCTTTGGGCTGATCCAACCCCCTGCCAGGTCTTCCCTGACCCCTGGGGGTGGTACCCCTTGCAGCTCGGCTCCTCCATCCACCCCTCACAGTTTTGAGGTCTGACACTAAGATACCTCCCTGAAGCTGCCATTGAAGTAGGAAGCACTAGATATCTCAGAAGTGGCAACTTGCCTCTGGGCCCTGAGAGAGCAGGGAGACCACTTAGGATTGGAGGAATCGGAAAAGTGTTACTAGAAATGGCATTTACAATTGGCCTGAAAGGACGAGGACCACCTGGACAGGGTGAGGTGGCCATGGGAGAATCCTCGGGTGCATTTGTTTTTATTGTTATAAGTAGACCTTCATCTTCCCTGAAATTGATTCCTTCACCATTTCCAGACTTCTGTTTCTGAGAATACTACTACACCTACAGGGATGAGAGCCAGAGAGTTCACTGCAACCAAGTAACAAATATATTTGCAGGATAATCCAGGTGCACAGCAGGACCACGCTGTTTAATGACGATTCCCACAGCCATGTGCAGGACGAAGTACTTTGCAGGTTGCCCTCTCTGGCCTTGTTGAGGCCTCATTCTTTAACACTCAGCCTAGCGTTCCTTTCAGAAAACCTAGCTCCTGCCCCTCCTGCCATTTATTGCCCCTTATCCTGAGCTGGATGCCCGCCTCTCCGATTCCATCATAGATGTGGTGAGGTGGCTGTGGTGGCTTTATTTGCATTTTGTACTCATCTCCTTCTTGAAAAAAAAATTGTTTTCTCCATCAGGCTGAGAGTTATTTAAGAGCAAGAACCATGCCTTGCACATCTTTGTATTCCTACAACCTGCTGTGGAATCTGGCACACAATAAGTATTTAACAAACACTGGGTGAATGAATGAGTCACTACAAGCACTTTAAATTAACGGGTATAAACAAAGACACAACCAAGATTGCGTGTGAATGTGTGTGTGTGTGTGTGTGTGTGTGTGTGTGTGTGTACCTAAAACACAACATGCATATGTGTGCAAAAATCACTATGTTGTTTTCAGAGGGATATTTCAGGACGCTGGTCTGGTGCACTCAATCTGTCCGGGTGTGAGAAGAGCACCGGCTGGATCCTAAGGGCTACATTCCAGACAGGGCTTTTGGAGTAACTTGAGTGCCTCTGTCAACAATGCAAATTCTCTGGGCCTCCTCTTCCCTTCAGTTGACTGTCACTGTGGCCCAAAGAGAGAGAGGCAGGCCACAATTCTGCTCACATTTTACAAGTAGAGTGAAAACTAGTCTGACCTGCAGCTCACTCCAGCTCAGCCTCACCTCCAAGAGGAGCTACTTCCTCCCTTTCTAGAGAGGGGGATGAGGGCCTGGGGAGTGGGAAGGCAGCTGTGATAGGCAAGTCCAAAGCTGATGCAGTGGCTCAGGACCCCATGTCTTGTAGGCCTTGCTCCTCATTCTGCCTTTTCCTCCCATCCCTGAAGCCCAGGTCTGGCCATTCCCAGCTCATTCTTAGTTTCCTTCAACCAGCTCAGGGCCAGCAGCAGCAGGATGGAGAGTGAACTGGTCAGGTTCACAGCACAACATCCTGGCTATAACATCTCAGCCAGAGGCACTGAAATATTAACGGAGCTCTCATTTCCCAGGACAGCAGACGGCAGATGCAATGGGAGCGCAGAGGCATGACGTGGGCTGTGGCCTGTCCCCAGAAGGCAAAGCCTGTGCTCCACTTTTAACAACTGGAAGTATCCAATACTGAGGGACAGCATCTGCTGAGGTTCCCAGAGCTGACTCTTGGCCCACGACCTTGGCTTTCTTAAATCCTAGGTAAAGAGACAGAGACACAGTCCTCTCCCTCTCCTTCTCTCTCATATACACACCTGTTCACATAACAAAAATTGAAAATGTAAGCACCAGATGGTGACTTTAAAAATAGACATCACAGGCTTGATGTGAGGAACACTGACAAGTTTGCCTCTGTCCTTCTTGCCCATTGGCACTTTTAGTCCTTTTCTCCTTTCTTCTCCTGACTTAGCAGAGATTTCACAGGTCTTCTGGTTCAGCCCTCTTGGTGAATCCAACAAGGAAGTTATGGCTCAGAAAAGTTAAGAGATTTGTCCAATAACACCTCCATTAAGTTTTTGTCACTGGGAAAATTTTTTGAATAAAAGGGTCAAAGAGATTATCTTTTCCCAGAGGAGGATCGGACTCTTAGAAGCCATATGAAAGCACAATTATTCCAATACCCCTTGGAGTGAATCAAAAGGCAGTGGTCAAAGAACTGTCTTAAATCCTCCAAAAAATCCTGTGATAATAAATCTTTCAATCCTATCTGAAAATACCAGTCATATTAAGAATTAAGCTGAATACAGGTTCAACAATGCTCTTACTGTTCACTAGGAAACATTTTAAACATACCCTCAATAGTGGACAACCATATGCCTACCATCTGAGCTCATCAAACCTAACTCTCACCCATCAGGCCAATGGTGTTTGTTATGACGTCTCTTTTAAAATTGCATGTGTAATTATTATGTGCTTGATTAATAAAGACAGGAGTATGTGAGGTAGTTTCCTTGGTGGTCATGAGCTTTCAAAATCTGGAGTCCGTGAGAGAGGAATAAGAGCGAGCTGTCAGTGGTGAAGCAGGAAGTCTCTGTCCTCTGGCTTTCCAGCTGGACCTCTGCTGCTGCTCAGGTGTTTTCAGGCAAGGGGTTTTGTCACAGGTCTGATAAAGCAGAACAGAAATGCTCCTATCTTTACTCTGACTCATCAGGCTGGGACAACAGAGCTGATCAAAGGGAGCAGAGAGGGTGGGGCAGGAGTGAGGGGGCTGGGACTCCCAGGAGCTCTAGGTAGTTGACATCCAACCCCAGCAGGTGGGAGCAGGGCTTTAGGCCCTACAGTCCTCCAGGTCCCTCACAGGCTCTGTTTTGCCATGCTGGGCATGGCTGAGTCACCCGCTGGCACATGCATCCAACTACCACCATTCACCTTCCCATCTCATGGCATCCTGAGGAGTCAACAGTCATGCCTGAAAATGGCAGGTAATGACAAAGGTCTAATGGTGTCATTAGTCCTGGTGACTAATGGCAAAGGTCTAATGGTGACATCAGTCCTGGTGACTAATGACAAAGGTCTCCCCAGTAAAGGTTTAAAGGAGGAGATGTTTAGGCTTCATTCTCCTCTTCATTCAAAACGGTTCTTTGTTATCTCTGCCTCTCCTTTTCTCTTTGGTGTCTTTGCCTCCCCTCCTCTCTGCAGGGGTCCCTCTTGCTGTCTGTCTCCCTCCTCCTGTGGCTGTGCCTCTGAGCCGGTTTCCTGTGTGTTTCTGAGGGAATGCTGCTCTGGGCACACTGTACCTGGCCCTGCCACAGGGCAGGAATGCCACTTGGAATGCGAATGTTCAAAGTTCTGCCCTTTGGTGACAGTGAAGAGGCAGCTAGCCAGGTGGCCAGACCTTTGTGCCTGTACACAGGACTGGCCGCGGCTTCTGCCAGGTCCCTGATTCAAAGGAGGGAGGAAGGAAGAGAGTGCATCCACGTGAGTTTCACTCGTGAGACACAGCATAGTTTCTTTCTAGAAAGGACCAACTGCAGGCTGAGCCCGTGCTGACCTCACAGCACATGCAGGCAGGGATTCTGCTCACAGCAGACTCTGGGGCCTTCCTTCAAATTCCAGGAGGTCTGTGACAGGTAAGGACCTAATCTAGGCGCCTGCCCGGTGCCCAACAGAACGGGATCCCAAGTTCCCTTCTTGCTCTTCCGGTCTGCAAGAGTGATGTCACTCAGAAACCCGCGGTGGGCCAGCCCCAGGTTAGGGGGTTCGGGCGAGGCACCTAGCTGGCTCAGCAGGGGTGACTTGGGGGCCTCCCACGCAGCCTACTGGCCAAGCAGCTGCTCTTGACTGCCGCCTCGTGGCCAGCTGTGAGTACTGCCAGCGTAGGGAGCTGCCCGCGTCCCGCCCTCAGCAGGTGCCCAGGGGTCTGAGCGCCTGGGCTCCTTCGCTGCTCCGGACCTGGGCACGCCTGGACGAGCGGCGAAGGAGAGCCTGGGACGTTTAGGGCTGGGTGACTGGAAACCTTCTGGCAGTTTCTGCAGCAGTGCTCAGCCAGCCGTCCCTCCTCGCTTGGCCCCTGGCCCAGCACATGCCCCTCTTCCCTGACTAACAAGGTGACTCTGAGGACCAGCGTGGGCTCCCGCTGCCCGCGGTGGCCTTCGGGTCTCCGTCCGTGCTGGGCTCACCTGCCCCGGCCTCCCTGTACGCGCGGCTCGGTGGCGTCCCCCAAGCATTTCCGGAGCTCTCGGAGCTGGTCCCCTTCCCTTCACCTCCGAGTCTCTTTGCCCTTCCTCCGCCCTGGCTCTTCCCTCACTGGTTAAAACAGGTGCAGAGCCCCCTCGCCACGCCCCCTGCAGCTCGGTGCAGCCTCCCCACCTGGAGGTGCCTTCTCCTCCCACCTTCCCCGCTGGGGCGCCGCTCTCGGCTGCACCTGCCCGGCCGCCCTCTCGCCCTCGCGTTAGGTGGCCCACCGCTGGTCAACACCTCCGTCGTATTAAGCACTACTGACCCAAGCCAGGGGCTCCTCTTGATCACCGCCCACCTCTACCGCGCTCTCACTACGCGCCGGGCGCCGGGTGGGTCAGGTGTCCTGGAGGGAACACTGCGCACACCGCCTGCAAGGGCCTGCGGGGTCCAGCGGGTTTTCAGAAGGAACTGCTTTCAGCGTTAAATGTCACCTCTTCACCTCAGGAGGTGCTGCCCCCACGACCCCAGTACCACTGTCCCCAGGTGCTGTACAGTGCCCCCAGCAGCCACTATTGATTTCTGTGAGGTGGAGGGAGAAGGAGGAATTTCCCAGGTAAAACTCCATAGAGACTTGTTTGTGGAAGACAAGTAACGCTTGGGGTGAGTGTTAGAGACTCAGGATCCATGCAGGTGCAGGCCCAGAGGCAGCCCCAGAGGACCTTTGGGCAGATCCCTCCATATTTATTCTGGTTTCTTTTTGTTGATGTTTCCAACCTATTTCTTTATTCTCAGTTCTGGTGGACTGGGTGCTAAAAGCACTTGGGACAGGGTGACAGGTGGTACCCATTTGTTCTTCAAGTGTTGACTGAACCCTGATATGTCCCAGGTACAGCACTGTGCTAAGGAGATAGGAAACATGTCCACATTCCAGGATATTCTAGAACTGCTGCTGGTTTCATTTCAATTTTAAATATATGGATACCTTCGATGAGACATCCGGAACTTGAAACAAAGTGGGCAAACCTTCATCCTTCCAGGTGGAAGCCAGGAAAGTAGTAAAGGGATGCGCAGACCTAAGGAAACAAAACAAGACAAAGTTAGAAGGGCAGTCAGTGGTTTGGAGAGCCAGGCCCTTGGTTGTTTCAGAGAGGACACAGGGACACTGGAGTGGTTTCCCTCTCTGATTCGGGAGCATCCTGCCCACGAAGGAGCACCCAGAAGACAGCTGTGTCCCCTAAGGCGCTTTGGCTGCTCTGTCCCTTTTGAAGTAACCAGTGATAGTTCTAGATTGTCCGACAGTGTACAAATAAGGCAGGAAAAAGGTTATTCATAAAAGCAGAAAGGAAAGGAGTGAAATGCTCCCCGGGTCTCCTGGAAAAGTCTGCGTTAATGTTTTCTGCATTGAACGAGTGCTGGTCCTTTCGTGCCTGGCCTGATTTCCTGGAGATTATGTCTCTAGGCTGAGATCATTGATTTGCTTCCTCTCACTGAACATCTCCCTCCAACTCCTCTTCCTCTGGAACATTCTTTCCAGTTAGCAAGTTACACAGAGATGCTAGTAGCAACACCAATTCTCTTCACAGGGTGACCCACCTTGCTTGCTACTGAAATTCATTTTATCACAGGATGAGGAGCCAATGCCTAGGGGTGGGGCTGGCAATCACAAACTGTCCTTTGTGCAGCCCTGTGCCTGTCCTTGGCACCCAAGAAATGGGAACTTGGAATGCTGTAGTTTTGCCAAGAATATCTCTCCTCTCTAATGAGAAAAGATTTCATTGTTCATTTAAAGCAAAGGCGTGTAGGAAGAGTTTGAGGTTCATGAAGCATCTACTGTTTCATTTCTCCTCTCCACTTCCGTGAAACCCGTGAGACTCTGGAGGTGGGTCTGTCTTGAGCTCTTTCTGTACTTTGTCTTAGATATGGGAATAGGCTGCCTTGAACTTGTCACCCAGAAGCTATCCAGGAAGGCCAGTTTAGAACTGCTCAGGCATGCAGTAAACTCACAAGCCACCTCAGTGTGACCTCAGGGGCTTCGAAGGCTGAGTGTGGCTTCATCAGAGTCAGGCCAGCCTGGGAAAGTCCTTGGAAGGAAGGAGGTCTGGTTAGGTGCTTCCCACCAGAGCCTGGCCCTACCTCCTCCCAAAGCCTGGGTCTTTCCAGAGCTCAATGGGGGTGTCCCACGAGCACACTTCAGACCATTCTGTTGGGACTGCTTGCCCAAGACTATGTAGTACTCAGGGCACATGGAGAACTGTCTCCCAAGGTCTAAGAAAAGACTTTTGCCCAAAATAAACAGTTTGGAACCTAAAGCTTTGAACAGATGAGGAGTTTAAAACCCTTAAGAACTGGTGACGCCTCACCTGTCCTTTCCCCTTCCAAAGGTTCTGCATTCCCGTCTTGTCTCCTTGGGGAAACCCACAGGTGCTGTCCATCACCTTAGCATCCCCATGAAGCGAGTAGGCTCTCAGAGGCTGAAATTGCTACCCAGTCCTCCCAGCATAGACATGAGCAGAGTTTTGCTGCCCACCATGGGGAACTTCTCCTTGCTGCTAGCTTGTTTGGCCATGGGGAGGGAAAACCGCCCCTCCCATCCCAGCTGGCTGTTGATAAACTGTCCTCTCTGACACTCCAGGACTTGGCTGTGAAAATAAACAGGTGCTGAGCAGGCCCAGTTGTGTTCTGGGCCTGCCTTTCTCAAGGCCCGCCCTGCCCTGTCCCTACCTTCTCCCGAGGGCTTGTATAATCAGAAAACAAGGGAGCTGGCGGCAGGAGAAGCAGACATCAGTGTGCTTTGCTCCTGGCTGCAGGGACAGGTCTGACAGGCATGGGGGTAGCGTGGGGTGGTGGGAGGTTAGCCTATTAGATGTCAAACACTAGCAGCTTCACATTTTAAAAAATCTAAATTTCTACTTAGAATATCCAGTAGATTTGGTCACTGGACTCACATACCTGCAGGTGACACTGAAGGGATAGAGGGCAGGCTGTCACCTTTGGTCAGGGGATGCTCCCCTATTCATCGCAACCTTCATTGGCCAGTTCTACTCATTATGCCATCCACCTGACTGTGAGCATACGATTTGTGCCCCATCCCCAACTGAAAGATGCTAAACTGCCATCACTCATGCTGACCCTTAATAAGAACTATATTACATAGCACTTTTATTTCCTAAGCAAGCCTTTGGATTCACTGAACCTTTGATTGCCTATTTTTATATATTTGAAGTTATGTAAAAATAACAGACATAAACGGTACACACTCACGCACTTTGAAAATACATGAAACTGCCTAACTGCTTACGAAGAATGTGGTGTTTTAAAGTGAAGCAAAGCAAAGGCACATGCTATTGAAATTGGAATGTGGAGAGAATGTTAGGATGTCCCTCGTGGAGAGTTGCTTATCTGTGGGCAGGATGGCATGTGGCATTTACCAACAAGAGTGAGTTTTCTTTTCAGACAATATGCTCTTTCTAGCCAGCCGCTTCCATGCCAGGGAGCCAGCCCTGTTCAGTCTATAATGTGCATATGAAATTGCCTCTGGGCTGCCTTTCGCTGCTTTCTCTCATTTACTCTATGTCATTTCACACCACCCTTCCATTCCAGAGCAGGGCTGGAAGCCATGACTAGGAACCATGGTAGCAAAAATGAGGGAAGAATGAGGAATCCCAGTTATTTCGAGTAGAAGCTGAAATTCTCCCTACACACAAATTCCCCCAATGTTGCAAAACACAAACATGTGTTCTATATTAGTTTGATTAGAAGAAGTAGGGCTGTGGAGGTTGGAGGAGAGCCTGACAGTTAAATACAGGCAGCTGCTACTCTAAAAAGATGGGAAACTGTAGTTCTAGACTTCTGAGGGTTAAAATCTGAGAATTTCAAACTAATGCAGAGGAGAAGGTGGGGGCAATGAGGCACATGGGAGTGTTTTGAGAGGTGGTGTCTAGGGGTACACTCCTCTTGCACTATAGAGTGTGGTGGTAGAGAGGAAGTTGTTCCGGGTCTCATCTCTACTCAGGCTTCTACCCAGATTTCACTTTTGCCTGAGAAACCCAGGACATTTCTGGTTGTTGAGCACTTGACTTGGTTTCTGGACTGAGCAGATGTATCCCTCCAATACCCTCTCCCTTAAGAAAACTTCTCCCACGAGAACTTTCAGGAAAGCTTCGCCTCAGTTGAGCAGTTACCTTCTGGGGAGGCTGAGAACTAATGGCTTGTTCATGTGGCTGGTCTCACTAAGCCAAGGAACCTTATCAAATTTTGGAACAGAAACCTAAAGAGGAACAAAAAGAGATCATTTTGCAGTTTATCAGTTGTCCACTGTTGTCCTAACAATGACCAGAGTAAGCTAGTAGTGGCCATGTAGCAGTCCACAGTTCGCAAGACCTTTTTATATTTTGTATTTGACTCTCAACCATCCCATAAAGTGAAAGAGCAAATAAGTGTTATCTCCATTAAGTCAAAGCTCAGATAGTGTGAACTGCAGCTACAGACAGGTTCGTGTTTTCTGACCTCCCTGTCCACTCCGTCCCGGGTCCGGCTGTCTGCCTTTGCTGCCTTCCTACTCCCAGCTGTTTGTGAATCCCTCGGCCCTTCCAAGAAGTCGGCTGAATATGAGCAACCTCCTGCCCAAGCCTCTGGCTGTGTTTTCGGACGCAGGACTCTGTCCTCACCCTTCAGAAGGCCAAGCTTAGGGGAGAACCACTGCAACTGGGCCTTACTGACCTCAGCCAGGCTTCAGACAGTTGAAACCTTTCGCACCGTATCTCCACCGCAAAGCTCCATGGGAGCGGGGATTTTTATCTGTGCCGATCACTGCGGCGTCCCGAGCACCAAAGGTACTGGACGTCTGTCATGGCAGGCATGGATGCGCAGGAAGCCCCGTGCCAGGGCCGGTCATTCTCTCTGGCCCTGGGCTGGGATTCGCCCTCCCAAGGACCGCCCTTTCGGCCTCCGACCGGTCTCCACAGAGCAGCAGCCAGTAGGGGGCAGCAGCGGCCTCACGCCGCGGCGTGGCGCGGCGCGGGGAGCTCTTGCCGTGGACGGACGGGACCCGGAAGTGCTCGCCGCAGCCCTAGGCGGCTCCCAGGAAGGGGAAGTCGGTGGGCGGCTGCCCGCTTCGGCCGTGCACCCTAGGAACTCGAAGGCGCGTGGGTTCCGTGCGCGCGTCAGTGTTTCGGTCCTCTGGCTCTGCGGTCCCCTGCAGGCCCAAGACGCGGTGGCCCGGCGGTGAGCGAAGCGCCCCCAGGGACACCCCTTCCCGACCCCTGCGCGGCTCTGCGGACCCCTCGGCCCCGCTGCGGTGAGGGGGGCGTGCCCGGCGATACCTGCGTGGTCCGCGCGGAAGGCAGGAGGTCGGGCAGCGAGCGCTCCTCTGGGGTTTGCTGAGGACACTGGTGCTGCCCGAGCGTCCCGGGGTCACTGAGGGTCTGCCTGGAGCCCCAGGGTCCCGCTGTCGAGCGGGGATGATGGCCCTCCAAAGGGAGGTGCGCCCCGTTAGGTTCTGGCTTCTTGGCGGCCTTGGGCCTGGCTCCCACGCTGGGAGCGCGACCCTCTTCCCGTGTGCAGCCTGGAGTGGGCGCCCCACGAACCCTGAGAGAGCTGTGGGCTCTGTCCCTGTTAATTTGCATAAAGTGCCTATGCAGGCCTGCAGTGGCGCTCACCTGGGTAGGGGACCTTTGGGTGAAGACGGGTGTCGAGGGAGACGATGGGGTGAGGCGCAGATCAGACTTTGGTTGCAGTTCTGGCACCACCGGTTACCACTCTTGTCACTCTGGGCCAGAAATGCCCAAGCAATTTGGATCTCCTCTGTTTTACTACCTTGTGAAGATTAAGTAAAAGTGCCTAGGCATTTAGCACAGTAGATACTCCAAGTGATGGCTAGCAGGTATGTATTGTTCAAGGAATTATAGTTTAAAAATTGGAAGTGAAGTTTTAATATCCCAGATTATAAAATGGCAATCACATTCATTTTATGTAGACTTGTAGTAACCCGAGTTGGTTTGATTTTTGTCTCAGTTCTACTCTGACCTTTGACAACTTTCATATTTTCACAGGTCTCTCTTTCTAGGAGTTTGTCAGTATTGTCTTGCCTCAGAGAACAACTGCATCCATTGTGGGCCTAGCCTGGGTTGCTGCCTTTGAAAACAAGGAAAGGTGGGTAGATAACGGCATGGAATTTCCAGAGAAGTCTTATTTCAAAAAAAAGGAAAACCATATGGGCTTACTTGAGGGAGATTGAACTGGCCTGAGTTTAAGGGAAAGGAGAAGATAATGTGTGCCCAATCTATAACTAGCACCAAGGAGGCCAAGTGGCAGAAGGTCTTGTATGAGCGGCAGCCCTTCCCTGATAACTATGTGGACCGGCGGTTCCTGGAAGAGCTCCGGAAAAACATCTATGCCCGAAAATACCAATATTGGGCTGTGGTATTTGAGTCCAGTGTGGTGATACAACAGCTGTGCAGCGTCTGTGTTTTTGTGGTCATCTGGTGGTATATGGATGAGGGTCTTTTGGCCCCCCACTGGCTCTTTGGAACTGGCCTGGCATCTTCATTGATGGGATATGTTTTGTTTGATCTCATTGATGGTGGTGAAGGGCGGAAAAAGAGCGGCCGCACCCGATGGGCTGACCTGAAGAGTGCCCTAGTCTTCGTTGCTTTCACTTACGGTTTTTCACCAGTGCTGAAGACCCTGACAGAGTCCGTTAGCACTGACACCATCTATGCCATGTCAGTCTTCATGCTTTTGGGCCACCTCATCTTCTTTGACTATGGAGCCAATGCCGCCATTGTATCCAGCACACTGTCCTTGAACATGGCCATCTTTGCTTCTGTCTGCCTGGCCTCACGTCTTCCCCGGTCGGTGCATGCCTTCGTCATGGTGACGTTTGCCATCCAGATTTTTGCACTGTGGCCCATGTTACAGAAGAAACTGAAGGCCTGTACTCCCCGTAGCTATGTTGGGGTCACAATGCTTTTTGCCTTCTCAGCCCTGGGAGGCCTGCTCTCCATTAGTGCAGTGGGAGCCATACTCTTTGCTCTTCTGCTGGTTTCCATCTCCTGTCTCTGCCCTTTCTATCTCATTCGCCTGCAGCTTTTTAAAGAGAACATTCATGGGCCTTGGGATGAAGCTGAAATCAAAGAAGACTTATCCAGGTTCCTCAGCTAAGTTAGGGACCCCATTACACTATTAAGGCAAAGTGATAGACTGGCATCCTAACCAGCATAAAATTGGAAGGCAGAGCCCTTCTGGAAGCAGCAGGCTGATGTGGATGAGATAACAGAAGAAAAAAATTGACAAAGGCTTGGGTGGTGAAGGTGTTATTTTATGATTAAAAAGCTTTCTGGTGCCCTCTTGAGTTATTGCCTCTCATCTATCATTCACTATAACAGATGATGTGGTCTCCATTAAAAAACAACACATCCATCAAGTTGTCTCATGACTTTTCTGAAAGCAGAAGGCAAAAGGGGTGTGAAGAGAGAATAAAATGTATGTTTGGTAAAGACACTTCTCTTTTTCAGGGTACTCATGTAGGCTTTTATTTTTCTAGAGTTCAAATCCTAGGACTTGTGTCCAGATTTGTTGCCCAAGATCACAGAAGTGGTCATTACCCTTGATTCAGAGTGTCTACTTAGTTCTAGGTGAGGCATGTACAGTACTAATAAGGGAGGGTGAGATTGCCATAAGGCACAAGAAGAGTTAGGGGAATTCAGAAGAGGCTGGAGAGAAGTTTACCTGGAATTGGAGACATTTATCAGCAGTGGTGTCATTTAAACTTTGTCTTGGAGGGTGGGTGGGATTTAGGTAGGCAAAGGGTGGTTTTAGGGCAGTGTGGCAAAGGTCTTTTGGGGCCAGATAAGTAACGTGAGTGACAGTGGAAAACTGGAGAATGCAAGCCCTGTCCCAGGAGGGTGGCTGCCACTCTGTTCCAACTGATTGTTTCTGCTCAGTTTGGGCTTTTCTTTTCTTTTTTTTTTTTAAAGAGAGATCGAGCATTTTTAATATTTATTTTTTTTTTAGTTTTCGGTGGACACAACATCCTTGTTTGTATGTGGTGCTGAGGATTGAACCCGGGCCGCACGCATGCCAGGCAAGCACGCTACTGCTTGAGCCACATCCCCAGCCCTGGGCTTTTCTTGAGACTTCAGATTTCCAGATTAAATTTTCAATGAAACCTCAATAGCTGTAAATCTGATTTTTAATATGAAGTCTGATTTGTAAAATCCATCTCAAATTTAAACTAACTGGGCCAAAAAATTCATTTGCAGGCAAAATGTGACGACTTCTTTGCTATATCTGTTATTTGCATAGGTGCAGAGATGGAGAGTTATGGGTGTTTAGGGTCGGAGAATGGTAGGGGGGAGCTTTGAGGAAAAGCATGGGAAGCTTGAATAGTGATTCAGGGTCTGTGAATAGTCAGTAATCTGAGCGCTGTGGGGATCAATACAGCTTGTCTAAGGAGTGAGTGATCAGAGATTGGATTCATTATGAAATTGTTGTGTGTCTCAGTTTTCAGTTGTAAAATGTGAATGAAAGATCTCTAGAAATGATGAAGCTATACAGAGTGTTTTGAATTATGCCTAACACAAATACTACGTTAGTTAGTGTTAGCTGCAGCTTGAGCATCCCTAGTCCAGAAATCCAAAATGCTCCAAAGTCTGAAATGTTTTGAGTATCAATGTTATGCCCTAGTGGAAAATCCTATACCATGAAACTGTTGCACAGACAAAATTATTTTAAAATGTATGAAATTGCCTAACTATGTGCATAAGGTATATGTGAGACTAATTTCATGGTTAGACTTGGCTCCCATGGCAAGATCTTATGTAAATATTCTAAAATGTGAAAGTATCAGAACCCCAAACACTTCTAGTCCCAAGCATTTTGTATAAGGGGTGCTCTGCCTGTGTTATTGTTACTAAGTTGATGTGCAGGGGCACTGGGCAGAGGCCAGAAGCAGAGTGCATCAGGTGCCCACAGAAAAGCTGGTTCTTCCTGAGGTAGTTCCTGTACTGGCCCCTTATGGCTAAAAATTCATTTCATTTCAGAATTTTCATCAGGAAGGTGTTATCCTAAGAATAAGTGTTTCTATTTTTCTTAACCTAAGATTTCTCAAAAATGAATTGAGAAATCCTTTTGGAACTAGTTTCTTCAGCGGTGTCATCTCAAATTCTTTTTCTGACTTTTTTTTAAATAGATGAATATTTCGGGATAAAAATGGGTGGTTTCCCAGAGGTCACTTAGAGTGCTTTCACAAACCCAGCAGCACTGGTGATGGGACAGAAGGGACTCAGACCTGTGCAGCTGCATCCATATCAGCTGAAAGTTCCCCAAATTTGAGCCAGTTTCAAGAATAGTTCCTCAGTGGGATGCACGAAGGTGCCTGCTGTCTTTTTTAGCTCTTTCCTGTCACACAGTGCCTGTTCTTAATTTGGAGATTCACAAGGAGCACATGCAAGGATGCACATGAAGCCATCATTCACACTTTACCAGCCAGTCTCCAGGACAAGAAAAGACAGTCAGCAGAGGGCATCAGTTACACAATTATACAGGTTTCCAGCTCACCGAGTTCAGGGAAGCAGGTCTGCGACAGTACCATCTTGTGGACATTATTGGTATTCCTTTTTAGAATGATACTCAGTAAGATGATTGAAATTCTTGATGAATTTTGGTTTGGGAAATAACTGAGAACTGACCGTTGGGTTTCAAAGGAGGAGGTCACTGGTGTCCTTGAAAAGAGCAGGTCATGGTGCAGTGGTGGGAATGACCTACTGGAGTGTGTTTGAGAGAGAACAGAGAGGAATTGGAGCAGCAAGTACAGACAGCTTTCTGGAAGTTTTGTTTCAAGGGAAGCTGGGATATAGTAGAGAAAATGAAAGGGAAAGTGAAGGGCAGAACCGGCAGCCTGCTTCTGCAGATGGAAACGGGGACACGGAGGGGGTAATGGTGGTGTGTGAGAAGTGGAGCCCGAGAGGCCCAAGTGGGAGATGGGATCTAGTGGCGCAGGAAGATGGTGGACGGGCAGGGATGGCCATCCATGGGGCAATGGAGGATGGAGGGTGTGGGTGCAGGTGGGATAAGAGGGTAGATGAGGCATGGGACTCCGAAGTTCCTTTCTGATTGCTTCAATCATCTCAGTGGAAGTGGAGACAAGGAATCAGGTGAGAATGACGAGGAGGGGAGGTGGGCTGAGCAGAGAGGTGTGAGGAGCTCAGACAGACTGGGAGGAAGACTGCTGATGTAAGTTCCAGAGTTCACGGCAGACTGGTGGGAGTGGGAGTGGTGGGAGTGAGTTTGGGGGGCCTCCTTTTCACCTTGAAAGAGGTGTGGTCTGGGAGTGAGGGCTCCCTCAGCCCTCGCATCATCAGGACCACGTTTTGATGGTGCACTAACAGGGGTGTGGGCTCTTCTCTGGGTGGTGAGTGTTTTCACAGGGGCAGCAGGCAGTGCCTCTGGTGTTCTGGAAAGCCCAGTTCTAAGTGATGTGAACTTAGCCAGGGTTTAACGAAGACCCTGTGGAAGGGGGCCTGCGGAGCCCACTCCTTTAGCCAGTGGGAGGGCTCAGAGCACTCAGTGCAGGGCGAGGCCAGTGCAGGGGCACCTCTGGGTGCTAGTTTAGACCCAGCCAACACTTGGGCTTTGTGGTTTTTTCTCTCACAATTCACAGCAACCAGGCATGTTGGTTTGTTTACCTTGGGAAACAGCCACAACTGCCAGCAAACCCAGTGCCATTCCCTTCCAGGTGTACTGCTATGTCTGCTGGTGGAGGAACTCAGAAGCCACCCAGCTGCCAGCACTGCGGCCCAAGGGCCCACAACCCTCTTGGGTTGTGCCGCCTCATGCCTGTAGGGTCATGCAGGAAGGGGCTAGAAAAGCAAATGGCACCAACTGGCATTGAGGTTCACAGGCCCCCCAGGATCAGCCCATGGCCTTCTGCCCTGAACAGACTAGCCCTACAGTTCTTTGACCAAAATGCTGGTAGGATGATGGAACAAATTGATTTCAGCAGTGCTGGGGTTGAAGGGAACGATGGGCCCACGGGCCCCTTCAAAAGCTGGCTTAGAGGCTCTGCTTTCTTTCCCGAGCTCGGCAGGCTCACTGCTCGCCATTCCAGGATGGGTCTGTGCCCAAGTCACATTTGGACTCTGGAAAGTAAGAACACTGCAGGCCTCCTGCTGTTTTTAAGTTGCCACATGTACAGATCTTTTAGGCCTGAGGAAGCTTTTGAGTATGTAGCCGAGAGCGTTTTTGTCTTTAAAAGGGAAAACGCAGGCAAAAGCAACTGTCCCCTGGCTCCCACTTGCTCTCCACTGCCTTCTGAAATATGCTGGAGAAGAAAGTGGAGCCCCTCGAGCCTAGACCGGGGGGCTCGGTAGTGTCACACCAGCTTCCAGATGCTACTCCTTCAGCTGCTGTTTTGAGGGGCAGAACCTGCATCAGTGCCTCCTTAGTCACTGTGGAGGGCCCTTGTGTCTCTTCTGCCTCCTGGGGTTTGTGAAGGTGCTCTTTCCTTGTCTTGTGACATGTGTTCATGGGTTTCACTGAACACGTGAACCAGGGCTGAAAATCAGGCCTGATGTAAAGTAGCCTGAAATGTGATTAAGAACTGAGTGTGGAAGAAGCAGTTTGTCATCATGACTCATCCGGTAACCCGCCTGACACCTGGCCTGATAGCTTAATGTGTGACCGTAATATGACAAAAAGGCCTCTACTATGATGTGGAGGGGGCCGGGCCCTCCAACGGGCACACAGCGGTTAACGTAGATAGTTCAGTGGATTCACTCAGATACAGATTCCTGTAGTAAAAGAGCTACAGAAACTGTTTTCTTTTCCAGCAATCTTAAGTTTCTGTGAGTTTCATATATATATATATATATTCACTGTTGGGAAGGTTTACTTCAGAATCTCAGGAAACTGGACTAAAGAATCCTATATCTATGTGATTTATAGGCCAATGTTGAGTTACAGGCCAAACGTTGGCAAGTACAGCTGTTCTTCAAACCACAGGACAAAGATAATTGTGCTCCCACCCATTGAAGTCTGCTCGCCTGTAATAAGCACAGGTACTTCCTTACCTCCTCTGGCTTCCAGGTTCTAGGATGTTGAAAACCCCTTGATGAACAGCGGTCCCCAAGGCTCGTAGATGTTTACTTACCAGGGAGGCCCCATGAGGGAAGGATTGGATATCGTGGGTTTCCTACCTTCAGTTTTTTCTTTTCCATCTCCTCGATTCTGGGTTTCTCCAGCTGTGGAATGGGGAACACCAGCTCCCCTCCCTGTTGCCAGTTGAAGATGGCTCTAGAGTCACCTTCTTGAATCCAAAGCCTCTTGGTTAGGAGCCAAAGTAAGTTGGCAGACCACTTCACAGTTTCAATACCATTATGCCTTTTTCTGAACCAACACCTGTGGATTTAGTCTTGCATCACATACTCTACGAGGGATGGGAAATTTGGTCTTTGATTGGCTGAAATGAGTTCCAGATTTCTTTCTTCATCAGAAGTCACAATCACCATGTTCTGGAACATGAACCTGTTAGGGCAAGCAGGTCCTATAGTTCTAGAACTCAATAGCTGTCTTCCCAGAAAGATCATTGCACTCGGCTATAATTACTTCTTAAGCCATTTTATAAGCTACTTTTATCTTGTAACTTCTTTGGTATTCCTGATGCCTAAGGGCATTCTGAGAATTCAGGAGTGACAATACTTACAGAATATTATTTATTTATTAAAGATATAATAGTTGGGTTCTTCATGACCAGAGTTCTGATCAACTCTGAGGAATGCAGTACCTTTCCAGTTTTCTATCAAATACAGAGGGTGGAGGAGGACACAGGGACAGAGAGTCCCTTGTTGGAGAAGGGCCTGCTATGAAACACGGGGACACTATTGACAGTGCAACATATCGACAATCCTTAGCACGGTTAACTGTACCGCAGGCTGCTCCCTCCCCTGATTGCTCCCTTTCTATTCTTGCCTATAAAATGAGAGGAAGGGAGGCTGAGGAAGATCATCATTTTGTTCTGCTCTGACTGGATTTTTCTCCTTGTCCATTAGGTCAACTTAACTGTCAAGATGCCTGAACTGGGCAACACTGTAGAAAAATAAGTCCAAGTTTTAGACAAAGAGGAAAAGTACCAAACACTTAAAAAGGATGAATTGGAAAAAAGCCCTTCCCCCTGCGGACCTGTTTTTGAGTGGGGAGGTGGTAGAAACTAGCCTAGGAACACCTTGTGTCGGGGTGAATGCCACATGTCTGGTGGGGTGCCTTCCAGTGAGAATGCTGACTGAAAACCAAAGGCCTGGACTGGGATGGGGGCAGGCAAGGGACAGTATGCCGTGCCTCCAGGTACACCTGTGGTCAGCTGAATGCCTTGCTTTGGACCCTTTGAACCTTGGCCCTGGCTCTACCTGGTCACCACTGAGCCTGGGATACAGTAGATAGGAGGTAACATGTGATGGGAAACCTTTAGCCTGAGAAACTGGTTTTGCATTTTTGAGTACAGAATTCAGTTCTCATAAAATTATATTTTCATGGTCCGGAGCAAGAGCCCAGTTAGTGAGGGGTCTCCATTTTCCAGCTGGCAGGTCCTGCCCACCTCTCCTCCTGCCTGTCTTGCCCGGGCTCATGAGGTCACACATAAACGCAATGCCAGGGATGACCAACTTTTTGACTCTCTTATGTCAAAAGTGATTCATTCAAGAAAGGCTACTTTTAAATTCTAATCTGGGCCACATAAATCTTCGAACAGAAAATTCTGATTTAAGTTAAAAACCCTTGAGATGGCTGCTACATAATTGGCAGGTTGGACTGTGTTGTCTTAATAAGAAACATTTTATTTGGACAAATCTTTGGGACACTTTAATAGCCTAAAATTTCAATGTTGGATTATCATTTGAGGACTGAGACATAAAAATGTTCTCTTCCCTCTCACTTGTGTAGATCCATTTTCTAGATCTTTTCTGACATGGCAAAGCCACCCGAGGTGGCCAGACTTCCTCCCTGATGTGGTTTCTTTACCCCCAAATTTGCCAGATAGAATTTGTGGGGTTGTATGTTTCAGGCCTAGAGTTTCTTACATGATCTTCCAGATTTATCTCCTCCTCTAAGAGTGTTTAGAAAAAATAATACAAATAAAAAATATTTTTGGTGCAGTAAGAATAATGGGATTCCTGGAGGCAACTAAAATCATTCAGTCTTCGTTTCTCTAGGCACCTAGAATTTTCCTTCATTCTTTCACTCTTTGTGTTGAGTGGGCATTTCAGTTGAAGATGATTATTATTGCTTGGCAAGGAGCATCTTAAATCACAATGCTCCAACAATGTAAATATTATGTTCTTCAAGATATCAAATTATGCAGTTTTTCACCTTACCTGTTTTTTGTTGAGACATATTCTAATTTGAGTCTTCTTTAGGAAAATGAAACAGAACACTTTTCATTTTTTATATAGAATAAAATTTTTTAATTATAGACATGGATCAAAAATAAAAGTTTTTATGTACATATGACATATAGTGCAAACAAAAGGTTTTTAAATACCATGGATGGACATGTTGTCGGAAACAAAAGGAGATGAATGATGGGGGTTAGGATGGTCGTCCAGGAACGGCAGGAGGGGGTCGCCTAGTGAAAACAAAACAAAGCAAATAACAAAAAGAAAACACAGATACAGAGGGAGAAAGCAATGTTTAAATTATGAAATAAAATAATAGCATGCAAAAATATCTCACAAAAGCCAAATGCAAATCAGACAAAAACCAGGCAGACATGCAGGGACATGTAAGAACACCAAGTGGCCAAATTAGCAGTTCCCAGAACTCTCCCCTATAGATACAGCAGCATGCGAGGTGCCAGCCATTGCGCCTGCTCAGAAATCCTATTATTTTGCATCAGAGAACTACAAAGCATGCAATTATATGTAGGAGAACTAAGAAGAGTACCTGGGCTAAATACCTGTATAAGTTGTACATTTGTTTCCCAGTCCTGATTTTGTGACTCTATTTCCAAAGACTTAAGTGGATATTGTGAACTCTCCATAGGGGCAGAGGCACTTGATATAGAAATATGGCAGGTGAAATTTTTTCTAAAGTGAGGGAAATAGCAAGGTTTCAGGAAGTCAAGTGAATTATGAAATTATAGTGCAGAAGGTGTCAGGGGTTAATCTCACAGAAAAGGATTTAGAAACAAGAATTTGCTGCAGGTGAAGAGTCCCGACATGTGATAGCTCAGAATCGGGCCTCAGGACACTAGTAGGCCGGGGCTGGTCCTTGATGACCACAGGATTTTGTAGAATTTCCTGCTGAGAGTTAGATGCAACTCATATTCTGATTTATTCTCAAGTGGGTCAGGGTAAAGCTGGTTTTCTGGATATTTCTCCACATTCTTAACCTGACCTGCATCTCATCAGGCCTAGGGGTTGTGAAGTCAGAGTTGTGCTTCATCTTGAACCTCAGCCTATTTGCCAGGAGGATGATTTGCAGTGACTGAAGCTACAGAGACGCTTTCATTGAACAGTTCTGTTGTAGACAAAGAGCAGGCCAAGTAACCTTTCCCACTGGCTTCCAGCGGAAGTCTGCATTTTAGAAAGTCTCTAACGGAATCGGTGATGAACTCAACATTACAGCAAGCCAGAGGACTGTAAGCTATCTGTACCCCACTCTGGACTTTGCTGTGGCTGCTCATCCCTGTGCAACATGCTTCCACCTCAATTTACAAAAAGCCAGGAAGTGAAGCAATACAGTCTATAAAAAACAAAACCAAAACAAACAAACAAAAAACTGTTTTTTTTTTTAAACCTTAATAGAGTCAAACTGAACAGGCTATTTCTGAGCAGTGATAAAGTCCAAGGCCAATCTTTTTTGTTGGTCCAATTTAAGCTGGTTACACGAGGCCTCCATCCATTTAAATGATGAAGAGCTTGTTATTAGCACTAACCTTTCAACTGTGGGGGGTCTGCAAGCCTTTGGCTGGTGAGACCCAGGGAATGGGTATCCCTGGTTCTTTCATGAAGAAAGTATAATTGAATTTCTGTCAGGCTCAATGAGATTTATCACCTGCCCAGCAAACAGAAACTATTTCTGAGCTCTGAAGGGGCTTCAGAACAGGTTAATGACCTCAGCAGGGTGGGGAGGTGAGCCATTAAGGCTGACAGCAAGTCCACGGTGATGAAGGGGCATCTGGGAGCAAGGGCCAGGATCTCACTGGGCAGCTAGGCTGGTGTTCCAGTGCAGAAACAGGATCAGAAACTTTGGGACTTGAAGTGCATTTCACCAACAGCTAGAGCATTTGCTGCAAATATCAGAGTGACCCTCAGGCCCTGGGCTCCTTGTTTCCCCTTCACGTGCATCTAGCTTTCCCCTCTGCCAAATGTTGTCAAGGCTGACAGAACTTGAAGGGTCGGAGTCAGTTGTATCCTGGACCTGGGCGGTTTGGGTTTTTGCTGTTTCTTTTCCAGAATCCCTTACATATTATTTTAATTCAAGAGCTGAACATACTTGAAATTTCTTACATGGAGAGCTAAGAAGGTGCCTCATGCTTCCATGTTGTTGTTCCGCCACCCCCACCACCAGCCCCGGCTCAGCAGCAGGAAGGTGGGAGTACTAGATGGCGATACTGATGGGCTAACCAGTATACTAGGATTTGCCATGTAAGCAAATCTGTCTAATCAAGATTATAATTTCAAGTTATATTTTCTTCAGCATCCTGAAAAATAACTTCCACAGAACTGTTTGGCCAAAGCATCAAGGAGAATCTGTATATGGATCATGGGCATAATTTATATTTGAGTCAATTTTTACTCAAAATAACAAATTATCCATTATTCTCTCGGGTATGTCTCAATGCTGTGAATTAGTCTGATGGTGACACTTCTTCTGGCAAGATTCCTAGAAAGCATTTTCCTTTTCTGTCAAAAGTCTCATAAACCATTCTCTGCTTGCTCTGTTGGCCCCTAATTTAGGTAATTTCTTTTTTTTTTTTTTTTTTAAAGAGAGAGTGAGAGAGGAGAGAGAGAGAGAGAGAGAGAGAGAGAGAGAGAGAGAGAGAGAGAGAGAGAGAGAGAATTTTTAATGTTTATTTTTTAGTTCTGGGCGGACACAACATCTTTGTTGGTATGTGGTGCTGAGGATCGAACCCGGGCCGCACGCATGCCAGGCGAGCGCGCTACCGCTTGAGCCACATCCCCAGCCCTAATTTAGGTAATTTCATCTCTCAGAAAAGTGCATGAGTCTGAAGGCTGGGGAAGATGAGGAAAGAAAGGCAGAGCAACAGGTATTCTTCTCCTTCCTTCTCTGATGATCTCGGACCTTAAATCAAGTTGGATCTGTCTTCACAATAATTCCATGAAGGTACCGTGATTAATTTAACGTAGCTCTTTTGCAGAACGTGGTGGGTAAGTCAGAAAACAGTCTGAATTCTTTGTGAGGCTCATTAAGGCTTGTTGCATGTGTCTCTAGTCTGTTTCCAAGCT